GGTGCAACTTTCCCGGGCATCTCCTACAGGCCCGAAGGGTTGGTGAAATATCCTGTGAAAATGTCACAGGTATTCACCGAAAATAGAATTAAATATTTGTTTTATTATTCACTGTTATATTCCTCACTCACATTAATGAAATAACAAACTATTGATATCTAGTTAATCATAACAATGCACTCCCGGGGATAATATATACAATTGAAATTACACTGGACTATTAAAGTCCTAACTGATTAATACCATTTGATATTCAACGCAAGTCACGTGAAAATAGTAACAAAAATACAAAAAGGTAAATAACACCTGGAGATAAAAAATGCGACACAATGTATAAGTAATGTATTGACGACGAAAAGAATATGTCTGAGTGGTCCATAACTCGTACAAAGGGTTAAGTTCCTTCCTACGTCCTATGTCTGTCTTTCACATATTGTATTTATTTATGATTTGATTTTTATCAACCACAAATGCCATGATCAAGTGGGAACGATAACAAAATAGAATAAGCAGATTTTAATATTTACTTGAACGTCTTCATGTTTTGATTATCGTTCTTAAGAACCGTTTCATTTCTATTAAAACGTAATTGTTTATTTTGCAACCATTAAAAATACGGTTAATATGTCATAAATTACGACTGTTATCGCAAATGAGTATGCAAACAAACCTTGAATCTCCTGTGTTATTCATCTGAAGTCTGCATTACTCCTAAAAGATACAATGTCTGGTACAATTTAGATTTTAAATTTGGGAAATGACTGAGGAAAGTCTATGTCGATGTGTTGCAAAGTTGCTTTGGATTGATTTTTTCGGGGTTTTACGCGTTGTTTTATCAAAAATGTAGAATTTAAAAAAATAATCTTTATCGCAATTTTAATCGTCATATTATCAAAGTACTTGTAATGAGGATCTACTTTTATAATCAAATTGTACTTTCTTAGTAAAATAAATTATATTCATTTGGTAATTAGCTCAGGGGTCTTAAATAGTCTATAGCGATGTCCTTGGATTTATTTTACTTTACTCCAGAGGGGGAGAAACACCAGGGTTCAAAGATGACATACGCTTATAATGTAAATCTGTATTGAGATGACATCGTCGCTGATTGGTCAAAAGTCGACAAACAAATGACGTCATCAATGGCGGTTTTAAGATTTTCGAAATACGCTTCGAATAATATTATGTTTATTTCTGGCGTGTTAACCAATATCACAGCTTCTCATTTCACATCAAGATAAAGAAAGGTGTACGGAATATGCCTATATCAATTAAAACATCCCATCGAAGTGTAGTATTTGATAACTAGCCGATGAAAATTCGAACGAACGAAGGTGGTACGCAAGAGAGGTAACTATGTCTGTCATCTTTAAACTCTGGGGCTTTCCCTCCTCTTACTTTACTCAGAACCCGTTCACCTCACGTTTGCATCGTACTAAACTCAGGCCCGTTGCCAGAGGGGGAGCTGGGGGAGCGGAAGTCCCCCCCCCTGGCCAGAAATTGTTCCAAAATCATGCAGTTTTTCACCATTCTGAGAATTTTTCGCATGCTTTTTAGCCAAAATTGTGAAAAGGCTCTCCCTCCTGATAAAAGCTGGCTACGGGCAAGAAACTGGTATCTTTTTATTTTGCAATGATAGAACTAGAAGCAATCTTGAGGCACAATCGTATATACCTCGATAGGACTCCAAGCCCCATACACCTTGCAATGATCTATCTGTATCCCTTCGATTGGAAGCTATGGGCTTTAATTCCTTGTCATTTTTGCATTTCCATTTAGTCTACTTCGATAATGGCTTTTGATAATGAATTTATATGGAAAGTAAAGTTACTGAATTTGGGGGAATTTTCTTCAGCTGTATATGTTACAATTAACATCTGATAACTGAGAAGACAAGTTGATAATTTTAGCTCGTTCGTCTTTATGACGCAAATGTTCATCTCAGCTCAGAGTCACAGGCAGAGATCCCTTTTAATCATTCAACATATCCGAGACTGAAAGCTTTTAGAGTCGAATCTTATCTTTTAAATCATTCACGCCTGGGAGGTTTTCCGGGTGCATTATGGAATAGGGATGACGCGAAAAATAGCATATAGACTAATGGGCCGGGGTGGCATTTTGATGAGAGGCTTCTCGTTCGGGAGACAATGTAAATATGTTGCTACTTAACTGTGATGTCATATCGACTTATTCAAATCACCAAAAAACTAACCATCACTTGTATCTGCAACTTCTTCACCACATGTATCCGGAAGTTCTTCACCCGTTTTATCTGTAAGTACTTTACCGCATGTATCTGCAAGTTCTTTACCGCATGTATCTGCAAGTTCTTCACCACATCGAATGTGTATGAAATTGCCTCACCACATGGAACATGTGTGTGAAACTACTTCACCACATGCTAGCTTATGAAAGTACTTTACCACATGCTAGCTTATGAAAGTACTTTATCACATGTATTTGAAAGTACTTTACCACATGCTTATGAAAGTACTTCACCACTTATTATATGAAAGTACTTCACTACCTGTATTATGAAATTGCTTCACCACATGTATATGCAAGCGCTTCACCACATGTACATGAAAGGTTCTCACCGCATGTATACTATGAGGACTACCCAAACATTTAACAAATTAAGGTTTGACTTTGAGTGATAAATCTTTTGTTCTTGATCAGGTCATGATTGTTCCGGACTTCACGTTATCAATCAAAGTCTAAAACAAAGTGGAAAATAATCAATTTTACATGAGGAACAGAGAGGGGAGATTTGCATACAAATCCGACAGTAATCCAGCTATCCCGCCGGGATAGCAAAGCCCTGTGTTGTTTGCTTTTGATGTCATCGCCTATATTTTGAGGCATTGAAATTCTCTTAGTATAAAATTATCTATAATTAACAAAAGTATTGTATTGTATTTTAGTGTTGTATTGTTTTGTATTGCACAATATTATACAAAGTAACGTCTGCATATCGTTAAAAGTGCATTGTGAAATACATAAAACTCGTTCTAAATACAGCATATTTGTTTAGTGGAAACTTGATAAGAATGATTTAGCATTCTATTCTCTGGTCTAGGCGTTTATCAAATAAAAAACGATTTGGTATTGAAATCGATTGAGTTATGGGCATGCACTACGCTAGGTAATATGTAAGGCTATGTAAGTAATGAAAGTAAGTATGACATTAAGCATTATGATGAAGTGGCTTGCGCTGCATGAGAAAATGACGGTCAACTCGACATAACGTTATACAAGCCATTAGCATGCAAAATGTCACCATCTCATTCTGCCTTTTGTTAGACGCCGATCGCTGAACACTGTTCAGTTTAGGTGGTGACATAATAAGCGTTCCGGGAATTGTGCTCCTCCTATATAGCCCGTTACAGGACCATTATTACCGTCCCCGGGAATTGTCCTCCTCCTATATAGCCCATTATTATTACTGTCCCCGGGAATCGTGCTCCTCCTATATAGCCCGTTACAGCACCATTATTATTGTCCCTGGGAATTCTGCTCCTCCTATATAGCCCGTTACAGGACCATTATTACTGTCCCTAGGAATTGTGCTCCTCCTAAATGCCCAATGCTAGTATTGTTTAGCGTATATGAAATGCCCAATGTTAATATTGTTTAGCGTATAGGAAATGCCCAATGCTCGTATTGTTTAGCGTATAGAAAATGCCCAATGCTAGTATTGTTTCGCGTATAGGAAATGCCCAATGCTAGTATTGTTTGGCGTATAGGAAATTCCCAATGTTAGTATTGTTTAGCGTATAGGAAATGCCCAATGTTAATATTGTTTAGAGTATACGAAATGCCTAATGCTAGTGTTGTTTAGCGTATAGGAAATGCCCAATGCTAGTACTGTTTAGCGTATAGGAAATACCCAATGCTAGTATTGTTTAGCGTATAGGAAATGCCCAATGTTAGTATTGTTTCGCGTATAGGAAATGCCAAATGTTAGTATTGTTTAGCGTATAGGTAATGCCCAATGTTAGTATTATCTAATATCTAGCATATAGGAGAGGCCCAAAATTAGTATTGTTTAGCGTATAGGCCCAAAATAAATATTGTTTAGCATATAGGATAGGCGTACGTATAGGATAGGATAGGCCCAATTAATTAGATTAGTATAGTTAAGCGTATAGGATAGGCCCAATGTTAGTATTGTTTAGCGTATAGGATAGGCCCAAAATTCGTATTGTTTAGCGAATCTAATGGAGAATAAATGTACTTTCGGAGTTTCACTGCAATTTGTTATCAGAAATTCAATTCTCAAGATTGATAAAAGGACGCATTCTCCATTTGCTATTAACTTTGATGAAGTGTTGAGCAGCACGAGTGTGTTTTATCATCATCGAGTACACTTGCTGTACAATAATAAAAATAACATAAAAATCAATATATAGCTCGATGTATTACAAGGACTTCATATACTAGCAGTAGCATGCAAGTCTGAAGTGTAATCTTAAAGGGTAGAGACCACATACTCCTCTTAAAGAATCAATTGAAGAAGTGATTACACGTCGTGAACCCGGGAGTGTCAATTTATCGTACGAATACATTGAGGCAGCGAGTGCTTAATGACATATTCGAAAAACCATTAGTTATTAGAAGATAGATATCAACGTAAAAAAGGCAGTGGCGACTCTTGAAAGGGATCGATCAGACATTATAACCATTAGACGTTAGTCACAAGTGCATTAGAAAACGTCATTTACAGGCCTGCTAAAAGCATAGGAGGAAAACCATCAACGTCTCTGAAAATCAAGGGACGAAATCTATATAATTGTGACTCAGATCTCTTGAGAAAATCGTGTTCTAACGACAAATCTCGGAAATAAGTACTAGAGATAGTATACATCATTTCGCCTACAGAGAATTGTCAGTATAGGCATTAGAGAAAATTGTGACATAACTTCATAACGAGGACCTGGAACAATAGCATTAAAGGGAGTGACGTTGAGTGTATAATTAGCAAAACTTCAAGTTCAATAATGGCGAAATTGGTAGTCCTGGCGATAGATAATTCCACTCAGGCAGAAATAGCCTTTGATTGTAAGTACCATATCATAAATCATTGTCTTTAATAAAGCTGTATTATTTGATTCAATTTCAGATATCATAGCCATTATGCATCACAACAATCTTAAATGGACCTAGGGGCACTATCTGTTCTTTATTTGGACAATTCAACATTTCCAAAATCTTTTTGATCTTCGACTAGCTATTATAAAGAAACATTTTCTTTCTTATCTTTCACAAATATACATTTGGTATCGCTCCGCCATTGATTTGCTGTTGTATTCCTTGCTGTGATGAACCTCACTATATAGTACCCTGAGCTGTTTTCCACCGAAATATCAAGTTGTCATGGTAACCAAGGCCTTGTAGTTACCATGGTAACTGAGAAAATGGGAGTGACATTGACAGCAAAAAGCCCTAACCCTACCATAAAGTGATTTTAAGAATATTTATCGATATTAAATTTTTCTTCATCCCCCGAACGAGTTCTGGAGGCCTGTGTTCGGAGGATGACTTTTCTTAAACATTGATATAATCCAGAACACTCTAAACACATGAAACAAGAAAAAATATCAAAATGAGTTTAGGTCGATCACTTTGATTTTTTACTTGAGAATCACCTATTATCACCCACATGGCTATGTTTTGTCAAGGTCACGAGATAAACTTAAAATAATAGAGGTAAATCTGCTAACGTTCCAGAGCTCTTCCTTATCACGAAACATAGCACTGGTACACTGATTATCATGAGACAATACACGTTAGGGAGGAGCTGTGTCCACCTTTAAATGCCAACGCGTAAAAGGCCCACTTGCACTAGTTTTGGCGGAGTTATACCATTTATTGATTCCTCTCGTGTTTATTTAATGAAGAAATTCGTAAATAAAACTTTGACTTCCTGCTGAACGCTTGATACCCTATTTAATAGTTTTGATAGTTTCATCTACACTATTTGATCTAGCCTTATTCTGATGTTTCATATGACACCCCATGGAAAGCAATGACGCTACTTAACATTTGCAATTATTAGATCTTATTATGAGCATCAAAAACGTGTTTTACTAGTATTCAGAGAGCGATGATTACTTCTAGCTTTACGTTAAAAGTAAAACCTTGAAGACGAGGATGTCGTTAATCTTCCGTACAGATCGTTGATTAAACAATAGATTAATAACATTAGCCTAATCATGAGATGCTGATAGAAAAACGTCGTTAGGTAGCTACTGTTTCATCAACGTGACACAATAAATGTCTTCATTACAAAGCTTTATTGTGGCATGTTTGGCCTGCCAAGAGACATAAATGTAAGGCCGTTGTAAATTAAATGTCTGTTTTGCAATATTTGTCTGGGATTGGTAAAATCTACCTGGCCAAACCTTTTTCTTGCCTAATATAAGGATTGAATAATTTTCGCTCATATTAGGAAACTTGCTTTTATCGTGAGCTTTTCTATTGAAAGCCTATACTTGTATGCATGTCATATTGCCATTAAACTTAATTCCGCTAACCAAACAATTGCATATAGTGGCCTTTTGCGTAATTAAAGCAATTTTAAGGCTGTGTGCCTTTTGTTATCACTCACTCTAATGCTCAGTGACAGTAACTAGTGGTTTTTCAATTTGGAACGTCTCTTCCATAATTTAGCGTCAATTTTCTGTCGACCATGCTTACTTTGGGCTCCTTTGGGGCCTCCAAAGCTATTATTGATTATGACAACCGCGCATCTACTATGAAGGCCTCTTTTAAGAAACGAAATTAAACTATTGTAAGGGGTACATTTTCATTATCATGGCCTGACCTTTGTGTCAGGTCATTCTAATCCTCTTCGATCTTTTGTCAAACCCTGGGGCTAAAAAGGAGAGTAATAATCACAACCACTGTGCATCTTCTGTAAATGAAGACCCCTTCTACACAAGCAAAGTAAGGTTATTGTAAAGGGTATTTGTACATAGCCTAGGTCTGACTTAACATGACCTAGCTAATGACATGACTTCCATATATCATGGAGATTAGTACATGCATGAACGTGGTCCTATTATCAATATGAATTACCATGGGAAATTTAGTTAAATAGGAAAGGGAGTCAATATGGTTGAATGACTCTCCCCCGGGAGACAACTGGATGTAGTTGATGTTGTACCTACCATTTTGATAATTGCATCCTATTATCTCGACAACATCTATGCTGCACCCTTTTCAAAAGTTTGTTTCTTTCAAATAGAGCTTAATTATAACTCTTTTAGTAGGAGAGAATCCTTTGATCTAATCACACCCAGATTAGCTAGGTTGATTAATACAGTTGCAAAACTATACGCATTCATAAGTTACTGGCGCTTATTTCCTATAACAGCTACATTCCTCTTGGGGCCATTAAGATCAGCATCAAAATTGTACAATTGCCATTCGTAGCCTAGTCTAGCCACAAGCCCTTGTGAACCCCCCACCACTCCACCGACTACACATCCCCCCACACCTACTACACATCTCCCCACGTGTCTTTTTGGTGAGGAAGAGGGAGTAAAGGGAGGCTTCAGATGAAATATTATTTTAGTATTTGAACATCATAAAATATCTTAAATCTCAATCGGCCATGTTAACACTGGTTGAATCAATAGTTGATCAATAATGTATACCCAGGGTTTAGTACTAGGTACCCTGCGTACAGAGTCTAGTTAAACTACAAGACGAAGCTCTCTTTTAATTAAGAAGTGAAGTCAAACGAATGCAAAGGGTAAGTACTAGCCGAGTTAAAATGAATAGATGATGCATTTCGACTAAAGAAGACATACTACTATATCTTTAGATTTCATTTCCATCGTTCAGTTGCAAAACGTCTGAAATTAAAATATTTATTTTTTGTGATGTTTTGGTGAAGCAGTTGATCTCAACGATCTCATATGCATCTTTCATGTCCTTTTATGGGAGTTGAACGTAAAATAAATGTTACTGCGTATAAAAAGGCAGCAAATTGTTTGTTATTTTCTGACCACATATTCTGATAGATCCATAGATACACCATAGATCCCGGCCAGATTTTTTTGTAGTAGGATCAGTAGCTCAATAAATATTCTTTGAGCCTATGAGATCCTACTGCAAAACGATCTGGTCAACATCTATGGAAAATACCAAAAGATCAATGAGTAATTTCTGATGAATTAGTAAAGGCAAATGAAGTTGATTTCCTTGAAGAATACCTCTATAAATTCCATAACCAAATTACAATCACGATTCATCCACTGGGCTTACGATATCAAACAAAACGAAAGCTTTTAAAGGATTTGTATGCATAGATTCGGAATGGAGCAATCAATTCAGTCGCTTTGGTATTGACTTTTGAATTGTCTGGACATATCGCATTATAGGCAATCTGTCATTTAGAGTGATATGATCAATAGTGGTATCGTATGTAATAGCTGAAGTGCCCGGATTTTTAATAAACCAAAGCTTCTTCAATTCCAATGCTCTGCCTCGCAGTTGTTATCCGATGCCTACTTCTAATGAGTTTGATTTAACCTTTTGAGTTTGATCGTGTGGTTTCATCTGAGTCTCGTGTTGGAATATAAGGTTCTGTATTAGAAAAATGTAAAAAAGATGTAGAGAAAATATCGATGTCTTATATTATGACGGTATAGATGGAGCCAGACATATGAGGCGGTAAATACCTCACCAATATTTTTTTGAAAAAGTAATATATATATATAAACCTGTTTTTACTGAAACTGAACTTGAATGGTTTCCAGTAATTATAATTTCTTTGTATTATATTTGCCTCGCCTGTTCAAATTTGTCTCGCCTATTTTCAGACCCTGGATTGGCCCTCGTCTGTGTTTTAAAATACACATGTACCATTCTACCATTTTCAGGGTATGTGGAGCATATATACAGACCGGAACATCAACTATTACTGTTGCATTGTGGGGAGGTCAGGGCGCCAACCATGCCATCACGTGATGGTGAGTAGTATAGTGCGCAAAGTAAGAACCATTGTGGCAGATTTACGGTCCCAGGAGATTGGTGTTCCCTTCTATGTATGGGTGGCCCTTGCCGGACCTGGTTCAGTTTAAACTTGATGTGAAGGTTTATAGAAGAAACACAGCCCGACTTTAATATTGGCATTTCTCTCCATCAGTATTTATTTAACCCTTGATTTAGCCTAACACTCCGCTCATTTAAAACAGAAGTTTCTTCATCCTAGTTTATACTCATTCAAACCATTTAGATGGGGGACTATCATTCACTGGGACCAAAATTTCTATCGATTATAGTTCACCATTGTACCTTTAAACTTTATATCCACAGCGCCTTATAGTGAATCAAAATACTTTACCGCCATCTTTCATTTCATAGCATGTTAAGAGTGGCTAATTTCCTAATGCCAGTCGTTAATAAATTTTAAAGAAGGGTTTGAGTTAGACATTGTTTAACATAGAAGGTTGTGTGTTGCAGCCGATGGTTGGAAAAGTGCCCTGGAAGAGGTCGAGGGGAAAGTCAATGCCTTAAGAAGTAAATATGAGACAAAAATGAAAAATGCAAAGGTTTGATCTTTCATATCTGTCAATTTTCTGCCATAGTTTTCTAAAAAGTACAATTGAGTAAACAATGCTTGGAAAAACCAAGTTCGTATGAGGATTTAACTAATAAAGATAAACTTCAGTACAAATCAGATAGTTGATGAATGATGGTTCACGAAGTAATGACAATTTTAACAGTTTTTAACCAATCTTTCTAGAATTTGCACATACGTGTACTATCAGGGATGTACGTAGTTATGAATATTGAAATATTATGTGGTCCAAAATTGTCCCTCTTAAGTGACAATGCCTCTTAAAGTGACAATGCCTCTTAAACTGACAATGCCTTTTTAAGTGACAACGCCTCTTTAAGTGTAAAACGTCTAACATGATATACACAGTATCTTCATCTTCTATCTTCCAGATAACTGGTACTGTGGAATCTGATTTCGGAAAGCCAGGAGAACTCATTGTTAAGGTTGCCGAGGAACGAAGCGCAACTATGATCGTGATGGGCTCAAGAGGTTTTGGTACACTACGGCGAACAATTCTAGGATCAGTCAGTGACTACGTACTCCACCATAGCAAACAACCCGTCATCATTTGTCCAAAAAAATAATGGACTACTATTTTCAAAAGTGTGCTTCGTTTCATCTACACTCCTTCGAATTAGAGATAATCTTTTGATCTTGCAGTCACAGAATTTCACGCCATCATAAGTACATGTACCTGTAGCTAGCATTTACGTATTTTTGCTAAAACTTCAACGGAATACCATGACAGCTACCTCTGAGGTCGTTAAAATCTTACCAGCCTCATAAAATTATTTTATTCAGAGGGTAGCGATTACTATTAAACTCTGGACACCAGGGTGATTGGTAGGACCCATACAGTGTATTAAATAAATTGTGTTGTGTATATATAATAAACAATTGCTTTAGTAGAAGCAGAGACATATAAAACATTGGATATGTCTCTGGTAGAAGCCAAATGATTTTAGTGTATAAATTGCGCAGTGTAAATAATATGCAAATATAAATTAAATAGATGCCATTAGCTAGGATTAAGATAATTTATCCTGTTTGTTTGTCGCTTATATACATCATTGGAATATCAATTCTTTCCATACCAAAGAACATGAGATGCCTTAAGAGATGGATTGAACGTAACATCTACCATTTTATGTCCATTTACGTATTTCATTATTCTTATGTCATGTTATGACTAGCCTTATAATTGCCTCATTTCAAATTTTCATCAAATTCCAAACAAGTTAAGAATAAAAATTCGAGAGAAATATCCCTGGGAATAGTTCTGATACGGGATTCTGTCTGATACGGATAGGCTACAGGATTTTTTGAATATCAGTTTTATTCCCTGTTTATTTCCCAGGGAAAACAATTTTATTTACGTCATAACACCCAATATCAAAGAAAATATTTGAGAACTAAACGTATGTCATACTTTGAAGAATCAGCCCAGCAACATCAGTTCTATGATGTTTATATGGGGTCTTACTAAAAATAAGGAATCAATCAAGATGGCGGAGGGAATATTGCAAAAGTAGAGATTTATACAAAACCTCACATTTGATCAATTTTTCTTGTTTTTATTTTCATCAATCGGAATGTATTTATAGCAAGTAAAATTGTACAAATAGGAATGATTTTAGAGATAGTAACATTATGTTAAAACACATTTAAAATCGAAGTGCCACGTGACCTTTACACCCCAGTCACATTTGTCGCACGGCGGCCGCAAGTCGGCCGCAGATCAATTAAATCGGTGAATTTCTGCGGCGAGCGTAGAAAAACTACGCTCGCCTTGCGGCCTCCGTACGGCGTATCCAGTTTCTTACAGGCCGCAGGGTCGCCGTAGAAATTATAACTCGGAGTTATAATATTTGTTCATTTCTGAGGTCCCCGTAGAAATCAACTGGCTCAACAAGATTGAATCATTATTTGTTAATGTTTCACGATCACTTTTCATTTGATATTACATCCTAGCACTATGAATAACATTTATAAATTGTCCTGATGTAAATAAAATGAAAAAAAGTATTATTTTTCAACAGAAATTTAAAATTCACCGTGCGGCTGCCGTGGGAAATGTGACTGCAAAAGTATGAGCGCACAGAAAATCTGCGGCGAGCGTAGAAAAGCAACTGGCCGCAGAAATGATAGACCGCACGGCGGCCGCAGGAAATGTGACTGGGGTGTTACCTAAAAGTTTGGAATATGATTTTTAAATAAAGGTGTAATTCTTGCATTTAGACCATCGCTTTTGTTACATTGACGTAAGTCGTCAAAGTAACATACATTGGTAATATAGCGGACTTTCGTCAATGTAACAAAAGCGATGGACTAAATATATAAATTGCAACATCATTTACAAAAAATTCTAAATCGAAGAAGTGTATTAAAGCTAGACTATATTCCCTTGATTTGAGCCAAATTAAAATCTGCAACTTGACTTTTAAGTAGGTTTAAATCAGAATACAAAAAAATCGTAACCAGGAAGTTCATCCATTTTGTTACATTGACGTTCCGTCTAAGTAACTAGTTGTGGAATAGTGAAGAGAAAGCATGTTATAATATTGGAAATACAATTTTACGGCCTCGACATGACCCCGTGACAAGGTACCCGACATGGCATTTCAATACAAACCACCTGGTGGTTAATTGAGTGAAAAGTTATTACAATGTCATTTTACGTCACCACCAGAAGTGGTGACATATTGTTAATATAGTCTCCAACATTTTTATGGACGGTGTTCAGTATATGTAACAAATACTACAACTTCCAACTGGCGGTGACATTTTGTCATGTTAAATGTCTTGTTAACTTTATATGAATCCATGAGATCATATTCTGTGATCTCAAGTATTAAATACACAAGGATGATTGGCTCCCAGAGTGCAACAACGATATTCTGTCCCGTATAATAATAATAGGATTTTATTAGTACTGATGCCCTTTTAGGGCCAAACGTACATCCAATATACAATTTTCAATAACAGTAAATATAGGCAATAAAGTAAAGAAAATAGGATTACATTCTTCAAATGACATATAAAATGTTACTTTGATATAAGAATCCTGTCTCTACCAATCATTAGATACTTTATCATGTCAGCAGATTCTTTTAATATGATCCCCTCACTCGTCAATAGAAAAATTGTCTTTTGGTGGTCATTCATGTTTTTAAAATTACGACACAGGTTTTCAAGTTTTTCAATATGGGATTTTCTGATAAACTCCAATTTTTTACATTTGAATAAAAAGTGTGTTTCATCTTCTATAACCGAGTCCTTGCATATTTTACAAAATCGACTATTAAGATCAGTAATTGGTTTTGTATATCGGCCTCTCTCTATCTCTAGATTGTGGGCGCTTATACGTAATCTAGTTAAATGTTTAGCATTTGAAAGTGTCGTTTCTGAAAGGTAGTGTTCAAATCCAAAGTGCGATTTTAGTTGTTTAAATAATCTAAGTTTCCCCCCATTCCCACTTATCAGATTCTTCCAATATACTTGATATCTCTCTATTAGTTTCCTTTTGACTTTAATAGCAAGCCTATTCGTGCTCAACTCTATGTTTACCCTATCTTCAAGATTCAATTCATCAGACATTTTTATTTTAATATGGCACAGTATATTTTTGAGTTGTTTGTGCCATGTAAATGTGTTATTTGTTAAATCAAATGTTTTACTCATAATTAATGAATCGTTTAGTAAACTCCCATTTGAACTCAACTCTAAATGACCGAGGTATTTGATTTGTCTTTTTATAATATCAACTACCAAAGGTATTCTTCCCAATTCTCCTCTTACTGCCATGTTTGTGGCTTTTCTATGAACCCCGAGAACATATTTTTGGAACCGAATATGATTGTTTTCAATTAAAGCACTTTCGTATTTCTGTTCAATATCTCGATTAGTTTGGCAGTCACGCTTGGTATATATATCATTACACCATATTTCCGAACCGTATAAAGCGACGGGTTTGATAAGTTGATCATACAATTTCATTTTCAGTGAAGACTTCATCTCTGTGCCGCTTGTCAATTGATAAAGTTTAAACATGGCTATGAAGATGTCGTGATACAAAATTTGAATTCAAACGGCCGCCATTTTGTTCACTATAACATTTGAATAATGAATTTTTGAATTATTTCTCAACGGAAAATTCCAAAACTCACAAGAAATGATCATGATATTGGTATGGATCTTCTGAATTGTTTATTTTGAATTTATAGTCGGTTACTAGCCTTGCTTAAAAGACCCTGTACTCCCCCCCCCCCTTATCCCCTTATCCCCTCTCTGTATATTGCCAGGTAAAGAGAGTGAAGGTGACGGGGGGGTGGATACAGTCTTTGAGTAAGACTAGTCCGTTACTATCAGAAAAAGACTTTTCGACGTTTCCATTGTTGGAAAATATCGATGTTCGATCCTGGGAGCCAATCCTCCTTGAAATACATAAGAACTTGGAAAACATGTTTCCATACTTCGATAAGAAAATTCTTAATAATTGGATATTGATTTTTAAAACGTTAAAGATATTTTTATTAAAACCAGCAAATACACTCAACATTTGCTTATGCATGAATTAATATGAATTAGCAATACTACGAGTGATTTTGAAATTTTCTCAATTGCAAATTTGTTTAAAGGAAACAGATGTGCCTCAGCTTAACTGCGTTGTTTGTCTTAAAAGAAATCAAAATATACGTACATGTAGGTAGATAATCTCCTGAATCATTTTGATGCGTATTTCCTTTGGGTAAGTAACATGCTATTACAATTAGAGAGATTTTGCAACTCACGTATTGCATGTCTGATTACATCATTATTTATTGGGCAGCTCTATACGTCTGTAAGCGTGATATTCTATAAATCGCCGTCAAAATCAATAGAATATCACACTTATAGACGTATGCTGCGCAATAAATGATGACGTAATCAAACGCTTCATAAGTTATACGTTATACGAGAATAATAAACATGCCATAAGTGAGTTGCGAAATCTCTGTAATATATAGAATTTAGATTGTATAAAAGTCTGCTTTTTGTTTGTTTATTTTTTGACAATTTCTGATGTGTTATACACGTTGAGATATATATATTTAGAAATCATAAAATATAAGCGTCCGGATATCTTAGATATCTAAGATCCCATTCGGGGATTCCGTTTTTCAGCTTCAGTATTGTCTTCATTCGGGCCTCCAAAGAATCACATTATTTACGCAACAGTTTAAGTATATCTAAGTCAAACAGTCCTGTGTCATTAAAAATAAAGCAAGCCACAAGCATTCAACGCCAAAAGAAAGGTATATGTTCACCAATAATTTAATTGTATCACTTTTATTTTAGGAAAATGCATCTTGGTGTCAACGTGACATTACTTTTATTATGCTTACAAGGAATCTTGACAGGTATAAATTAATTTATATTACATATTTTTTAATTTCCAAAGATTTCCTTTTTTTAAAGATTTACACACGCCCTTATCATGGAAAATATTGTATTGGAATTTGTTCTTTGGGAAATAAGCAATTCAATTCTTGTTTGGCTTAATTTAAGGATTAACCATATACCCGTTCAAGTGAGCTTGGGTATCATTAAGGAATAAGAATAAAATTCATAGCCGATTTTAATGTCCTCTTCGATAGTTCTCTTTTACGTGTTTGTTGTTATAAAATGTGCTCCCAATGGTGAAAGAACGTCAAACTCAAGGAACACTCATCTCCAGCGAATTGATGTAAATTAAGCTTCATATTTAACAAAAGAAGGCACGATACCCCCAAATAAAAATTCTTAGTAACAGAATTTATCTTGTTTTAGAATTGCCACCAAAAGAGATCGTTCAAGTATCATGTCCTCTAATAGGATGTGACATACCATGTTCGGTAGAGGAAGAATACGAGCGAGATGGAGAGACCGGATGTCAAACGTCATGCAAATGCGTGCCAAAGATGTCAATCGCCATGGAACTACCCCCAGTCGACTCATTTGTCTTGGACGACCAGGTCGTTTGTCCAATGGTTGTGGTAGAATGCGAAGATGAATGTGTAAAGACGACAGATGCCGAAGGTTGTGACGTTTGCATATGTCCGGAACCTGTAGACCCAATTGTCTTGGACGACCAGGTCGTTTGTCCAATGGTTGTAGTAGAATGCGAAGATGGATGTGAAAAGAGAACAGATACCGAAGGTTGTGACGTTTGCATATGTCCGGAACCTGAGATTGCGTGCGCAGTTCCCATGTGCATCAACGACTGTGGGCTTTTCGGTGGGTTCAAATACAACGATTTAGGCTGCCAAACATGTGATTGTAATGAACCTGTTCCAATTGTTGATCCCGTGCCTTGTCCTCCAGTCAATTGTGATGCTAAGTTTTGCAAGAAAGTTCAGCACCCTGACCTGCCAAATTGTTTTGTCTGTGAATGCTACCCTCCGCCTCCCGATACTGCCTGTAGAGACATCCCCTGCACGCATGATTGTAAAGACAGAGGAGGATTCAAATGGACCTCATCCGGGTGCCCAACATGTGAATGCAACGATTGCCCGACCGTCACATGCACCAGCCCATGTTCATCGGGATTCAAAATAGACGAGAACGGTTGTTTTTTGCCTACGTGCGAATGTTACGTCCCAGAATGTCCGATGTTCCGGTGCCCCAATGACTGCTCTAATGGCTATAAGAAGGACCATTACGGCTGTATGAGTCCGACTTGTGAGTGCAACCCCTCATGTCAGGTGAACTCATTTTCTGTAGGCCTACAGTATGTAGAACAACTTCAATAATTGTCTCATTTTGGAAAATCATACAAAAATGAATCCCTAGAGTGCCATCTTTATGAAGATAGATTTATCTATGAATGTCCCCTTCCTCTTGTGTGCCAATGGGCAATTAACAGATTAATAGGTCATCGTTCTCTAGATATGAAGTCATAATGTCTTCGTTATTATTTGTATACAGTCATGATAACCTAGACACCTCCTGCTCCTTTCTCCTCAACGTTTCTTGCGTAAAAGATGCGACGAGTATCAGAATGATATAACGAACAGCAAATGTAGCAATCATGATTTTCTTATATATTATGAATTCTGTAACTAATAATAAACTCTATTTTGTTGCTTGAATATTGCAGACTGTAAGATGGAAAAATAAGTGTAAAGGCAGACTTAGGGAGTGCGTCTTGGATACACCGAAAAACTGCCCCCATCCACCCTGTGCACCAGTCCCGAGATGTAGACGTAAAAAGAAAGTGACTAGGAAAGAGAGAGAAAGATTCTTAGAAAGACTTAGAAAGCAAAACTACTAAAGAAAATCCCGAGCATTCACAAGTTAAAACAGACTTCTGCTATGTACGCATATTTCATTTTAAAACTATATTTTGCAGATATTTCTCTTTCGAGATATACACGCCCGGTGATCGTGAAAATGGGACGGAGGGGGGAGCAGGCAATTTCCGCTAGAAAATTCAACAAATCTGGTAAAATTATTTTTTCAAGACAGAGTTTACGATTGAATTGAAAATTGAATAAGCGCACGGTATGATAAAATATGTTAGGTATTCTAGGATTATTTTTCAAGATATAAGATCTATTAAAAAAGGCGCAACGCAACCAACGTGCAAAAGTCAAAGTTTTTGCTATAAATCAAGCAACAATGGACTACACGACCTGTAATAAATACTTGTAAGTGATGTTATCATAACTAAATTAATGTCATTGCTGAATTTATAAAATAAGTTTCCATACGTAAAATAAAAAATAATCGAAAATAATTCAAATGGGACGGAGGGGGGGAGTAATAATTCTATAAAGTGAAACAACTTCACACGAATTCTTGTATTTGAAAAATGAACTCATTAACTTAGTAAGAAACTGGATGATATACCCCTGGAGACTGAAAAATGGGGACATTTGGAGTTAAAGGACTTAAAGTCGCGAAACATCTCTAATCATGTCTTATATACATATTGCCCCCCCCCCCTCCGTCCCCTCCCCCCTCCGTCCCAAATTCATTATTTTCGATTATTTTTTATTTCACATATGGAAACTTATTTTATAAATTCAGCAATGACATTAATTTAGTTATGATAACATCACTTACAAGTATTTATTACAGGTCGTCCAGACCATTGTTGCTTGATTTATAGCAAAAACGTTGATTTGTGCCTGTTGATGGCCTTGCGCCTTTTTTAATAGATCTCATACCTTAGATGCGTATCGTTTCAGAAAAAATCGCAGAAAACCTAACATATTCTACCATACCGTGCGCCTATCCATTTAGCAATTCAATAGTAAACTTTTTCTTGAAAAAATAAATCTTCCAGATTTGTTGAATTTCCCAGCAGAAATTGCCTGCTCCCCCCTCCGTCCCATATTCACGATCACCGGGCGTGATATATATATTTTTAAAATAAACACAATAAGAACCATATTGGATCAATGTTGATAAGTTACTGTACAATTAAACCATGGCGAAATGCGTGTTCCACCAGCTCCGCTGAAAACAGCTAGAAAATATATTATGAATAGCCTTAAGGTGCTATGGAAGTTAACAGGAAATGACAAAACAGGAAGTGACAATTTTTTGGCATTTTTAGACATTTTTGAACAAAGATAACAGAGTTCTGTTTTAACCTCCAGTCAATTCAACTAGTTCCAAATACCATTTACAGGTCCAGGATCACAATGTTCATGGCCAGAATGACCCTAAAAATGAAAAAATAACCTTTTCAGCCCTCTGAAAATGTGACTGAAAAATAGCTAAAAGACGGAGGTAGGAAAGGTCACTGAACAGAATCTTTCGAATTTTTCAGAAAATGTGCCCAATATATTGCTCTAAATGATACAATCTTTGAAAATTTGATATCATTCATAGAAAAAGAAAAAAATGAAAAAACTGATTTGAAAAGCGATCTATTTTCCTTTTTATGACCGCCATTTTTGTTTCAGACAATTTTCTGAAATTTCAAAGATTGTATCAGTTAGAGCATTATATTGGGCACATTTTCCGGAAAATTCAAAAGATTCTATTCAGTGACCTTCCCTGCCTTCCTACTTAAGCTTTTTTCAGTCACACTTTCGAAGGGCTAAAAAGGTTATTTCATCATGTTAAGGATGTTCCCTGGTCAGATAGGAAAATATTCAATAGTATTTAACTTTTTCTCAAAAATGGTTTTCTGGGATTCTCACGGGCAACAAAGAATATTAAAACTTTAAAAACCATATGTTAGTGTGCTTTTTTCTGAGCAAGAGGCCTCTAAAGTGTCAATATTTGACAAAAGTGGGCGTGGCACTTTCTCATTGAAACCCATGTTAAAAATCAGGTTTTCACCCCAAAACACACTTTTGAATATTTAACTTTTTCTTAAACTCACAGAAACACTTAGTTATGCTATGTACTTCACATTTTGAAAAGAAAAATTAGGGGTTGGTGTTCATCGTTTTCAACTTCGTCCAGGGAACATCCTTAAGGGTCATTCTGACCGTGCACATTGTGATCCTGGTCATGTTAATGATATGTGGAAATAGTTAAATTGACTGGAGGTCTAAAAATGCAAAAGTTTTTGTCACTTTCTGTTTCGTCATTTCCTGTTAACTTCCATGGCACCTTAAACAGATATTCCTTTAAAACCCATTTCCCAAGGTTACCTCGACATGACATCGTGACATGACATCTGACATGACATCTCAAAATCGAACATCTGGTGGTTTGTTGACTGGGTGAAAAGAAAACAACGTGCCATTCTTAATTTTGCATTTAATTAAGTTATCACTTATTTTTTCCAAAGCTCCCCCCCCTGATCCACATACCTGAATGACAAACTTGAAAAGCGGCTATGATGGAAAGAGTCTATGAACTTTTTCATGGTCATCTATGAATATTTCAAAAACTATTCAATGAACTTTTAAAAGTGTAAATACATTATATCAGGATAAAGTGCATCTTGACTTCGAAAAGAAAATTGGCTATTGATTTTAGAAACATGTGGTAAAATTAAAGATTTTCTTTAAAAAAGCAAATACACTTGACATTTGCTTAATAAATTAATATTAATTAGTTTACAATACGCTAAGTAATTATGAAATTCTATTAGTAGTATATTTGTTTTAAGGAAACACGTTGTCTCCGCCTAATTCCTTTGTCTTGTAGTAATTCAATTCAATTCAATTCAACCTATACGTAGGTAGATATATCTACTGAATCATTATGTTGGGAACTTTCTTCGGGTAAGTAACATATTTATTAATTATACGAATTTAGATTGTACAAAATCTTCCATTTCATTTGTTTTTGTTTATTTTATTAATATGCTTTATACATCAAATACATTGCTCATGTTAACTATTCTATACAATTCTACTTTTAATATTTGAAAGAAAAATAGGATCAAATTATTTACGCAAACCAAGGACGTTTATCTCCCGCAAGCATATAAGTATAGTAAAGCCAAACAACACATCGTTCAATAAAACAAGCCACGAGCGCTCAACATCAACATAAATATATACTGTATTAGCGGTATTTAATCTGAGTGGTTAATTTACCGAAGGCCAAATTTAAACTTCCCATTGGATAACATTATAAAGAAAATGGTTCCAACATTTACACCCCAGTCACATTTCCTACGGCGATCGTTTCTGCGGCCAGTAACATTTCTACGCATGCCGTAGAATTTCCAAATAATAATCGGATATAGTCGGAGCAAGTCCCATTGCATAGCCCCCGAAATCCGAGGAAGGGAGACTACTGATGATGTATCTCGGTAGCCAGTATCGATGAACACTTTGTGTTTTATTTATGAACTTCTGCGGTCGAATACGTTTGCAGTCACATTTTTCCTACGGCTGCCACGCGGCGAGTTTTGCATTCCTGTCGATAGACGTTAATACTTATTTTTATTTTGTATACATCAGTACAAAAATATGACCGAAACTGGCCTAAAAACTGTTTCCAAAGGTGCATTACCCATCCTGCAGCAGACACAAGTCAACCGTAAGTCCGACGAGCGGCCACCGTTGGACCTCTCTGTTGTCTGGCAATTACCTGTAGATTTCTACGGGGACCGCAGAAATGAACAAATACTATAACTCCGAGTTATAATTCCTACGGCTACCCCGCGGACTGCAAAAAAACACGATACGCCGTACGGAGACCGCAAGGCGACCGTGGTTTTCCTACGCTCACCGCAGAAATTCACTGATTTGATTGATCTGCGGTTGACGTACGGCAAATGTGACTGGGGTGTTAATTTTCCGAACCTGGTAAAAAATAAAAATTGGGCAATTGGCAAATTAAATGATTAGGCAAAATTACCACCTAGGTATGTTCATCAAAATTTCAGGAAAATGTATCTTGGCGTACACGCGGTGGTGCTATTGTTGTGCTTGCAAGGAATCTTGGCAGGTAGTCTTATTTATTCTATTTCATATACAGTATACTGATGGAATCGTAAATTCACTCGGAAATATCGTATTTGATTGATGCAAGCCCTGAATAGAATCATTGTGGGAATCATATTGGAATTGGATCACCAGGGTGAACTTATAAAAGATTTTAATATCCCTTGTAACTTTTGAGGTGACCATCATTAGGTTGTTTGGTCATTACTTGGAGTAATAAACAAGTTGATTCTAGTTGTAAAAATCTATTATTCCAACTTGATGCAGCTCAACTTAGCTTTTTTGAGGGGAACAGACTTGTGAATTTTAATTTTTAGACGTACCCCCGGTCGACCCGATTTTCCTAGACGTCCAGGTCGTTTGTCCAATGGTTGTAGTAGAATGCGAAGATGAATGTGTAAAGAAAACAAATGCCGAAGGTTGTGACGTTTGCATATGTCCGGAACCTGTCGACCCAATTTTCTTGGACGACCAGGTCGTTTGTCCAATGATTGTAGTAGAATGCGAAGATGAATGTGTAAAGACGACAGATGCCGAAGGTTGTGACGTTTGCATATGTCCGGAACCTGAGATTGCGTGCGCAGTTCCCAGGTGCATCAACGACTGTGGGCTTTTCGGTGGATTCAAAATCAACGATTTAGGCTGCCAAACATGTGATTGTAATGAGCCCATGTGTCCACAAGTCGATTGTCCGCCCTGGAGTAACTGTGAAAAGCGCGGTGGATACGGGAAAGATGCTAGGGGTTGCCAATCTTGTGAATGTGTAGTACCATGCCCACAAGTCGATTGCCCATCTAATCTGAATTGTGGCGACTTGGGGATGAAGCTAAACGACATGGGATGCCAAACCTGTGATTGCAATGAGCCTATATGTCCACAAATCATGTGTGTACCTGATCTGAATTGTGGAGACTTGGGGATAAAGCTTAACGACATGGGATGCCAAACCTGTGAGTGCAACACCCCCATATGCCCAGCTGTGCTATGTAGAATAGGCTGCCAATTTGGATTGAAGAAAAACGACAACGGATGTGAGATATGTGAATGTAATCCCGAACCCGAGTGCCCAGATATCGCATGCATTAACCCATGTTCGACGGGATTCAAAACGGATGCAAACGGTTGTATGACATGCGACTGTGACGTCCCGGCATGCCCGATGTTCAGGTGTCCCAATGACTGTCCTAATGGCTATAAAAAGAACAGTGACGGCTGTATGAGTCCAACTTGTGAGTGCAACCCATCATGCCAGGTGAACTCATTTTCCTAGTCTGTAGTACTGCTTCGATAATTGATTTTGAACTTCTTGCAAATATGAAGTGTTTCATTCTTACATAAAGACAGATTTATCTATGAATTCATGGCTATAATCCCCTCTTGCGCTCTTGTGTATAAGTTCAATATGAATTCATGGCTATAATCCCCTCTTGCGCTCTTGTGTATAAGTTCAATATGAATGCATAGCTATAATCCCCTCTTGCGCTCTTGTGTATAAGTTCAGCATTATACAAATAATGACTGCTATTTAGAGAAATATTCCCAGGAAAACTTATCAAAAATGCAATTTAACCCTTCCCTCACTTTAGCGGACTGATGTTTTGTACAATTATTTGTCATAAGATATACCTTCATACCGAACAGCAAATAGCAACAATCACGATCACCACTCAGTACTAGCTGATATAATGTACATTTATTTCTCGTATATTATGAATACCCACCTTGCATGTAAATATAACTATAATCGTGTATGGTAATTGTAGAGTAAAGAATGGAAACGCAAGTGTAGAGGGAAACTCAGAGAATGCGTCTTGGAGACTCCACAAAATTGCCCCAAAGCCCCTTGTGCACCAGTCCCGAAATGTAGACGTAAAAAGAATCTGACTAAGAAAGAGAAAAAGAGAATCCGAATGAGACTAAGAAACCAAAACTAAGAAGTTCATTGGGCATTCTCAAGTTAAGACTTTTGCAATGTACGCATGTTTTATTTTAAAACTCAACTTTGAGACTAATAAAACATTTCTTGATCAACATCAAAAGTTGGTTAATCGAAAATTGTTGCGTCATTTCTTATTGCATTAAAATGATGTACGTATGCCCTGACACCATAATGTAGGCAAGCACAGACACAATAATACAGGCATGTAATGACACCATAAAGTAATTACATTACATAGGCATTCACTGACACCAATATTTAAGCATGTACTGACACCATAAAGTAGCTAGGCATGTACTGACACAATAATGCAGACATGTACTGACACCATAATGTATAATAACGTTGCCTTAGTGGTTCCACGTAAGAATTTGTGATTTGCTTCAATTTGAACATTTGCATTTTATTTTGATTGTTTGGCAATAATTCGGAGAATATTTGATTGGGAATGGAAAACTATCTAAGGGTCTCAGGATGATAGCATCTATTCGCCCTTAAGCTTCCGATATGTTGTTAATACGGAAAATAATTTGAATATTTAAGTGTAATCAATTCATCACGGTGTCTATTCAGGCCCCGTTAACATCGCGAGCATCGAGCCCATGTTAGAAGCGGAGCCTCGAGAGATATGATAACATTGAAATAAAAACGTTTCTATGGAACGTTAGTGAGTGAAACTCGGTTCAACTTTATTTCAGAGTACAATGGCTATATCAATTGCAGGGCAGCAACGTTCTTCAACAATAATTGTACTTTATCATATCTCTCAAGGCCCCGCTTCTAACATGAGATCATTGCTCGCGATGTAAGCGGGAACTTGCTCGCGATATACTGGGCCTGAATGGTCATCCTGAATTCATATTCGATCACCATAAGAATTACTACAGCATTGTGAACAGGTCTGCACATATTATAAAATGGGGTGGTGCAAGGATTTAATAGTGATAGGCTTCCTTGATGTACCCAAAGGAGGCAGAAATTATTTGATTCCGAAGGTTCTATTGCTGGTTTTAAAATACACACTGCCCCATATCCATGTGGTGGTATATCTTTTAAAATACACACTGCCCCATATTCATGTAGTGACATTTCTTTTAAAATACACACTGCCCCATATCCATGTGGTGGTATATCTTTTAAAATACACACTGCCCCATATCCATGTAGTGGTATATCTTTTAAAATACACACTGCCCCATATCCATGTAGTGGTATATCTTTTAAAATACACACTGCCCCATATCCATGTAGTGGTATATCTTTTAAAATACACACTGCCCCATATCCATGTGGTGGTATATCTTTTAAAATACACACAACCCCATATCCATGTGGTGGTATATCTTTTAAAATAGACACTGACCCATATACATGTGGTGGTATATCTTTTAAAATAGACACTGACCCGTATCCATGTGGTGGTATATCTTTTAAAATACACACTGCCCCATATCCATGTAGTGGTATATCTTTTAAAATACACACTGCCCCATATCCATGTGGTGGTATATCTTTTAAAATAGACACTGACCCATATCCATGTGGTGGTATATCTTTTTAGCAAACAACAGATAACAAAAGAAGAGTGTAGCAATATGTTACAGACACCAAAACTGAATACAGGTCACAGAAAATGGTGGCTAGCAACAACAATGTCACCCTAGCCCTTTAACATAAAAACAACAAAAATTTCATTTTCTCATCACTTGTAATTTATTTATTCATTTAAAGAACATAATTCACATTAATAATTTCACTTGAATAAATATTTCATAGATTTCAGATTTATAAATGTGAAAATAGAAAGCATTATTAAAATAATTTTTGTATATAAATCTTGTAAACCTTCTCGTCTTATAAGCTTCAGAATACAATGAAGATAAAGTCTAATATGATGTATTTACACATATAAAATATATTTATAGAATGTGATGTCACTATCTATAGACCAGCCGTTCCCTTAACTGCAGTTTACGTAACAAAATGTACTACTTATAACATGATTCTAAAATTTCGATTTTATTACTCTCTTAATATTTAAATGAACTGTTTTATATGTTAATGAAGATCCATTTTTTGTAAACTATTTATCTTAAACTTAGCTTTGAATGAGATGTAGAGTGATTTAATTTTATAAAGAATTTTACAAAGAATTGACATAATGTGTGTGCATTTAAGTATCTTTTACATCATAAGTGCATTTAGAAGCACAGTACATATACATTAATGATCCTAACCATTCACTTTTTAATAATAAAGTTGCACTAAAGGAAAGAAATAAAGTGAGCATTGATTTTAAGCGATGAGAATGTCCCCTTTTTCAATTCTTATCCATTTGGATATTTCTCACTCTTAAACCATTAATAGTTTCCATATTTGCCCAGATATAGAGGTTTCTTCACAAGAAAAATATGGCTCTGTAGTGTACAGATTCAATGTAAGACCTCTAATGTATATGAACATGTATTGATATAACATACTATAAATTGGTTGAATTAGGAATTTTCATTTTTAACTTTGAAATGTGCATTATTTAACCTCTTGAATCCCAGGCTCTAAAATCGGTTGAAACCATTTTTGCCATCTTTTGAGATTTTATTACATACCTATACAACTTTAGATGCTCATCTTAGTAAAATTAGACGGCAGAGATCATTTCACAATTTTTGTATAAATTGGTTAAAAATTGTTCAAATAAGAGCAATTTTAGTGAAAAATTTTGTGATGGATTTTTTCGTCACTCTGAGTTTCAAGATCATTTCTGAACTGACGAGAAATCTCATCACTCCAAGTAGTCAAGAGGTTAAACGGGAGATTGGTGAATAACTGGATTAAAATGCGGCCATATTGAACCAATTTACAGTTTTTATGAGCATTTACATTACATGTGCTACAAAACAACGCTAGTGAAAGCACTCCTTCATAAATGCTATAATAAAAATATTTCATTCTATTAAGGTGAATACCTATGCATTTTTCACAAATGATATTTCCCGAAGCCTGAAAGGAAATATGAATATTCAATCTCTGAAAATAACACAGGCATTTATCAAAATAGAATGAAATATATGTTTTATTATTCACTGTTATATTCCTCACTTTGACATTGGTCTATGAAATGAAGGGGGGGGGACACCGGCTATTTATTTCATTTGCCCATATAGGTAAACTTCGCCTCTTTGTTTATTTACTGAGAAGGCACTTGTTTACCCTATTAAAAAAAAACTGGATAAAGTTACATGTAGGAAGTATGCCTGGTCAATATGCTTTTAATATTGTCAGGTTCTTGAAAACGTAATATGGTCTTGGACCAATCAGAAAATGAGGAATTTGGCAGCGATATAATAAACTAAAATATAATATATGTGTATATAATTGAATAAAATATATATAAGTACCCTTTTTATCTCATCCAATCGGAGAGCTCAGGGAGCTGGAAAATATTAATTACTGCTAAATTGATATTGTTTTTAATACTGTCTCCAACTTACAATTTTTGTGATCTTCAAATGGGTGTGCCCTGTTAAAAATCTGAAAATTACATCCCACCCTGTTTTCAACGATTTACACTCAGTCAATAGATAGAAATGTTGGAATATTTTCGCCGCAACAGGTAGATTTTGTATCCCGCGAAACAAAATATGTGGGTCAAAATTGATATTGCACTTATGATGTCACATAATAAATAAATAAAAGACCCCTTGAGATGCATATGACCTTCCCCAAACAAAATTAATAATTATCTAAAATAACTGATAAAGACCCCTGCTTTCTAGCCAGCCCTCCTTCAGATCTCAGTCTCTTTACAAGGAAGGTTGCCTCCCAGCATTCCTTGGTGATCTTCTTTTGATTGGCATGAACCATTTTGGTAATAATATTACCACATTAAGTCATTAATCTCCCGACTATTGTTTGATCTATTATTCTTATAATATTACCAGATTGGTCCATGGCAGTCAACAGAAGATGGTGAATGATTGCTGGGGGCCAACCTTCCTTGGTTTTAATTAATTACACTCATAATATATAATCCATGTGTCCAGAGTAATTTAGTCTATGTGTCAATTATGATATAATCCACCAGTCCACAATAACTTTTTCTGTGTCTGTCATGGATATATTGATCTTCTATAACTGTTCTTGACTCTGTAATCTTTTAATCCGTGTGTCCAGAATCCTGGGATTATTCTATGTGTCAATAATTGATAAATCCATGTGTCCATCATGGATTATTTATTATATGTGTCAATTAAGGATTAATCCATGAATTTTTAACCATGGGATTAATCCATGTGTAAATGATTGTCAAATCTAAGTGTCCATCATGGATTATTTGTTACATGTGTCTGTAGGGATTAATCCATGTGTCCATGATTATTAAATCTAAGTGTCCATCATGGACTATTCACATATGTCCTGAAGAATTGATCCATGTGACTTCAAATATTATTCCGCAAGCACACAATAAATAATTTCATCATTGGTATCGATAACAAGCTTAACAAGTTTAAAATGGCAATATCAAAGTGAGTAGCTGTCAGATGTCAAATAACCATATACAGTAAAACCTGTTGAAGTGAAACACCTTTGGTACCTCTAAAAAGTGTTCCACTTGGGACATGTGGGAGGTGTTCCACTTATAGAGGTACATTTAACATTAAGTCACTTGGTCTTAGGACTCTGAAAAGTGTTGCACTAAGAGAGGGGTTCAACATCTAGAGGTGTTCCACTTTATAGGTTTCACTGTACAATCATCATGATTTTCCATAATGATTAAGATTTAACTCCTAAAATAGTCAAATTTAACCAGGTAAAAAATGCTTAATATCTAACACTGCACTAATTTACACTTTTTTACCTGATTTCAAACTGAAGAGTAACTTTTGGAAAGCTATTCCTTACAAACTTATAGCACTATGCGAAAAGCGATGACATAGTACACAAACTTTATAAACATCAGAAACACTCTATAAAGGAGTTATGTAATCTCTCCAATATATCTTGTAACCATGGTAATATGGATTCTTAGTGAAAACAGATGATGAAGACCCCTTCTGCACAAAATCATGCATTTACATAGGCTCCTTGAACTACGCAATGAAAATGATATGGTCCTAAATGTCCTCAGGGCCCAGAAGGGTTAAACCTAGAATTGGGCCCCATAAGGGTTAACCCACCATGCCACTTTGTTGTGTTGCTGTAGCACCCTCTTGTTGACGGAGATTATTCTTTTGAATGTAGTACAACCACATATCTGACGGGAGGTCTGTTACTTTTTTATTCCTGTAAGAATAAGACAAAAATGAGGATACATCGGTTACTTTTTGACATCTATCATCAAAAATTGCATTATGGATCTTTTTTTAATGAAAAGTCAAGGTCGGAATTTTGAATACAAGATGCACACAAAACCGCCTTAAGTTAAAACTTATTTTATATTATTTCTATTTTCTAAGAAATAAGGGAAGTTTATTGAATTAGTCTATATGAAGTATTTAAGAGGAAATCCATTGTTCAAAACTGAACTTAAACAAGAATTGATTCATGTGGCACCCTCCTAAACGCAGGCCTGCATGATAATCAGGACAAGACGATGACAATACAGCACTTTGAAAAAGTGCGATAAAAGACCCCTTCTAAACACAAACAATAAAACATGTACATACGGTCTACTAGAATTATTCTTCTCATTCACGGACAAGCTTGTAAATTTTTCAACGATTTCTTCAGCTGGTAGTTTGAGTTTTCCCTCAGCGTGTAGTTTCAGTTGCTCCACATTGAACTTTAGCTGATCTGCAATTGAAAAATGTATGAGAAATTAGCATCGAGGTTAAATTCAGCAAAATCAGGCAATCAGAACTTTGTCTTTTTCGTAAAATAAGGCTCAAGGTCAGAATGAATACAAATTACAAATTTTATGCCAAAATGTCTTTTTTGCAGTTATATAACTTTTGAGAATTAGTTCTGATTATATGTATATTATAAGTTGATAGATCCCTTTGTTTGTTTATATAAAGTTAAATACATACAATAAAATACATACAATAAAGCTTTATAGACTCTGAAACTGGAAGTAGTTGTAATTTTGACTTTTTGTTATAAAATTTCAAATTTACCTGCTTAAACCATACTGAGTAATATTCCTCAAAGTATAAATAAATATCATATTAGTAAACATACTACATAATATTATATAAATTTCATGACTTGAAATTATCATAAAGTGAGACCAATTTAATTTTTCAGTTTTGACACCCACCTTCATCAATAGGACCCAGCAAACTCGCAAGTTCATAAGTCTTCCACGGGCTTAAGTCATGTGGAATTCTGGGATATATATGATAAGGACTCTTCAAGCCAAGTGTTTTGAGCAACTTGGTATAGGGGGCGCTATCGAGAAGTCTGCTTTCTGCTTCCGTGTAATGGATAATGGGAATATCCTTCCAGAGACCTATAACAGAATAATAAAGATTGAATTTAGTATTAACGCTTAAACGGTTAGGGGGAGCAGATCTGATCTACTAGGGAATTTTTTGACAAATTTTTATGATCTGAAACTTTCCCGCTTTTTTAAAATTGAATTTGTGATTAATCAAGAAATTTTTGATTGTCAAACCAAAAACTCAAGGTGTTAATGAATCTTAGCGTTGCATCAATGAATATTTGGCCCAAGTTTTTATAAAGTCATGGAAAATGATTTAAATGACATAACTGTATAAATCAAAGTTATTATTGTGGAAAACTTTTCACTGAATTCAAATACGCTATTAAAAAGAAAGAAAATTTAGCCGTTAGAGGTAAAAAGTGCAAATCTCTTAAAACGAGAATTAGCGAGATTTTAAAGCTATATGGAAACTCCTCTAATCACCTACCATGACATTGAGACATAACTGTACTGGCAGGTAGGACATTCTCCTCACTCAACTTCCTCCCTCCTGGAAATGTCACAATTAATTAAAACATGATTATTTCAATAGGGTTTAGAAAACAAGTTCAATATGTCAATTTACAAATTAATATGTCATTTGACAAAGAATGATGGGAACTACTATTTTATTTTATGTTTTTACTTTTTAAAAGACTTAAGAAAAACAATCCCTCAGACCAATAAACTTCTGTAGAGTATGCTAATCCTGACCTTTCAACAAATGACCTTCAACCCTATAAACCTAATCTCAATAACTGAATAATAAAACAAAGAAATTGAAATCTACAAACCTAATTTAACATAAACAGCTTCCAGTAGCTCAGATTTGAGAAAAGAGATTCCGTAACCAAGGCAACCTTTTGTTAACTCGGCCATAATGTTCTCAAGATTGGCATCACGCGACTCAACCTGAGGTAAGAGGCTGTCTATATCACTGCCTGTGATTAGTCCAAGGGAATACAGCTTACTGCTTATCTGAAGTTAAAGGTTAAGTGAATGAATGTCATATATATAAAGCTGCATTGTACCTTCAATTCTGTTCAAGTTGACATTCGCGAATTTAACTGCCAGCTGATGGATTAACTTACTGTTTTATGGCTCATGAATAAAACCTGCCACTATTCCATTCATATTTAAACGAGCTGGCCATACAAAAGTAGGTTAAACCGTAAGCCAGCAGTTGAATTCACTAATCCTAGGTAAGATTTGAGTGGAAATATTCATCAAAAAATTCTTCAATTTGATGATGATAAGGTATCATTTCTAAAAGGCTTCCTTCCAATAAATTTCCATTTTCTATTTTTTCACTTCCACTTTAAAATAACATCTACAAAATAAGTATACTATTTGAATCAACCTACTTGTTTGACTGACTGAATATTCAGCACTTTTCCCGTCTCTCGTACTAATTCAGAGATGTCGTCTGTTTCATTGGAGAGCTCAATTATTGTCTCAAGGTCATTGGGGTCTATCTCACATTCATCCTCCATTGTAGCGTCACTAGAACCCTCGTCACTACAGGAACTATCACTGGAAAATATGAACCATTTCTTTCAGATTTAACTCTCAGGCATGTTCAGGCTTTCACCAATGTTCACTTTTTGAGAAATGCCAGGGGGGTCACTTTTGACAATTTTGGTACAAATATGGCCAAAATCACAAAAAAGTGATCAAATGAAAACTGCATGATTTTGAAAAAATGTTGGGCCATCGGAGTTCGCTCGAACCCTCAACCCCCCCTGCCATTTGTTACAAATGTCAAATTGTCAATAGCCAAACACCACCTTCCAAACACCGACCACTGAACACCAACTGCCAAACACCATCCATAAAAGAGTTGGAGACTATAACAATATGTGACCATTTCTTGATGTTGACATTAACAGGTAAAAATTGGAAATCAAAATAGATTTTCTTTTACCTTGTCTCACTATCATCACTGTCCATTGGCAGATTCCCAACCATTCCATTCACCAAGTTCTCTGGGTCATTCTCTGCTCTTTTTAAGAACTGATTCATTACGCATTCTATCATATCATTGTGTTCCTGAAAACAAAGTGTAATATTTATGCATCAGTTTCTTCCTGGTTGTTTCATATACTATAATAAATTGTGACTAAATATTAAAGCTTTAAACTTCAGTCAAAAAAAATCTATATCGAAATTTATCACACTGCTTATCCCTATATTCTATGCTGCATATTTCTCTATGATTTTGGTTGTCGTAGATCAAATGTGACTTTTAATTTTATTCCTTGCTTATTCCACTCTTTTCCTCTCTAAAATTTGAATGAACTGTCTGATTTTCTTGCATTTCTACACAATTTAGAATGCTAACTACTCTATTCTGCATTTCAAAACATGACCCTGTATTAAACAAAGGCTACACTCACCACTGAGAACCAGAACTCCTGGTCCATGATGTTCATGAACGTCATGAGAATCTCAGGCTGAAGCAGAAAATCTATAGCATCGCAATCGCCAGCAATGTGGTACATCATGGTACAAATACACTCGTTCAGTTGAAATCCATTGGTCTCGAATGCTTCTAGTGCTCGTCCATACTGTGCCATGATATTCCTTGATGCAAACCTGAAATATTACATAATATCATTGATAGTAGTTCATTGGCAAATTAAAGAGAAACATCTCAGATTGTTTCAAAAACTTATTGGTTTTCTTGCATTAACACTTTCACGACAATTGTCGCGTATATGCAACAGTAACCATACACGACAATTGCCTGTTAAATGCGACCATGATAATGACCATATTAGATTCTGTCTAACTCTGCCGTTATAGCCCCAGAAACATCTTTTCGCTTGGTGTAATTGAGAAACCATATTATGGGATGGAACAACGATTTTCAAAAAAGAGTTTTATTTACCAATATTTTCATGATTTTCTGAAGAATTTATCGGTGTATTTAAATAAATGGTTCTACTTTATTCACTCTCCTCATCCCTTATTTAACGTTTTCAAGTGCATTCAACATTCCAAAAGATGCCCAATCCTAACTTACATTTCTACATGTTTCTTGATGTCGAATCCTGTCTCCAACTTAGATTTCCTGAGCAAGTCTATGAGAAGAAGCAGATTGTGATTTGCCATGATAAGATGTTTCAGTGGATCAACCTCTAGGACGCCCTCCATACACTGCGTGATCGCCAGCACAAAGAATCGACCCATATCAGGCTGCTCACTCAGCTTGACTTTAAAAAAAAGAAAACATTCATTGTAATGCAATTAAACCAAGGCATTAAACCTGCCATTTGTTACAACCACGCCAACCACCAAACAACAGCTGCTGAACACCAACCACAAAAAAGTTGGAGACTATAACAATATGTCACCACTTCTGGTGGCTGAAATAAAACATACACAAGGATGAATATCGCACTTCTTTGTTATCAAACATTCAAAACGGCCCTAAGTAATTTTATAAACAAGCATGCCAAAAAAAATAAAAGATCTTGGCACAAATCTGCACAAGTCATTTTTCCTTTATTCACAATTCCTCCATTTCAAAATATAGAATGGCTTGTCATGTTATAATTGGCCAAAATGCTTATATCTATGTGCAAAAATAAAACATATAAGACCCCAACATCTAAATGATTTCCATACTTACAGATTGTTTGAATCAGGTGATCAGCATTTTCATCAGAGAGTTCAGTCTTTGTGAATGACAACAGTGTAACCATGGCAATCTTCAGATCTCCAGCAATCAAAGGGAATCTAGAAACAGAGTAAAATCTTAATATCAGAAACAATACATGGAAATCTAGAAACAGAGTGAAATCTTAATATCAGAAACAAAACATGGAAATCTAGAAACGGTGAAATCTTAATATCAGAAACAATACATGGTAATCTAGAAACAGAGTAAAATCTTAATATCAGAAACAATACATGGTAATCTAGAAACAGAGTAAAATTTTAATATCAGAAACAAAACATGGAAATCTAGAAGCAGAGTAAAATCTTAATATCAGAAACAATACATGGAAATCTAGAAACAGAGTGAAATCTTAATACCAGAAACAATACATGGAAATCTAGAAATAGAGTAAAATCTTAATATCAGAAACAATACATGGAAATCTAGAAACAGAGTGAAATCTTAATATCAAAAACAATACATGGAAATCTAGAAACAGAGTGACTATAGATCTTCAGTAATCAAGGGGAATCTAGAAACTAACAGTAAAATCTTTGAATCTCATAGTTTGTTTTTTCACATTAAGATAAAGCAAGACGTACAGAATATGCCAAGTAGTATTCAGAAAAAAATGATAATGAAAATTTGAACAAACAAAGGTGATAAGCAAGAGATGTAATTATGTCAGTCATCTCTAAGCTCTTGGGCTTTCCCTCCTCTGAACCACAAACTTAAGAGGACTCACCTATGACGAGCAATTTCAAATCTTTCAGTTTGGTCTTTAGTAGCCAATATCTCAAGTTCTGTTGTACCCATGTAGAGTAAGACTTCCATGGTCTTCACAAAAGGAAATTTTCTGGAAAATGGAACATTAAATTGAAAAATTCCAAAAAGACAGTTCATTCAATATCCAAAAATGTGACAGAAATGTTTAAGCGAGCTGAAGTATTTACTGAAATTAGATTTTACTAGAGCTGTATAAGTGGTACTTTTGCCTAATCATTTAATTTGCCTATTTTTTGCCAGGTTTGGAAAATTAAATGTCAGAAATATCATCTTCATAATGTTATCCAATGGGAAGTTCCTTGCCATTAGGAAAATTGGGAAAATGATAAAATTTGACCATTTGGCAAATTAACCACTCGGATTAAATACCACTTATACATAAAATACAGTACATTGTCCATACATAACTATTGACACTGTCCCTTCAACATTCTTCCCTTGCATTCTTCATTTACCACCCCTTCCCATCACTCACAAAAATCAGCTTTGTCTATCAATAACTTTGAACACGAAACCTTACCTGAACTGTTCATGAGGTTTATCGCTGTTCTCAATTGCCTTTAAGAGGTCCCCTATAAGCCATAAGTAATAGTTGGAGGCATTCTCATCTTCTAACTGTTTAACATACATTTCTAATTTACCAAGTAGGCTTTCGGACATCTCTAGGACCTCTGCTCTTAATGTATAGATATGGTCACTGAAAGAAAATGAATGCATCTAAATTAGTTGCTTAAAAGACCCTGTACTCCCCCCCCCCCCCTTTATCCTATTGCCAGGTAAAGAGTGAAGGTGACGGGGGGGGGGGGGTGGATACAGTCTTTGAGCAAGACCAATCTAAATTATCTGGAATGTCCTTGATTATGAAATGAAACAAGTTAAATCTCGTTTCACTTTGAAAAAAATGAAAAAATGCTATTCTATCATTTTATGTAACATTTTATCGTTTTTTTCTACTTTCATGTCACATCATTTAATTCTGTACTTAATGTAAAAAATATGACTTATAGTGTTTTTATACTGTTATATATCTATGTAAACATGTTGTCTTTATATTTGCCAGTATTATCTAAGGAGTCTTACACATTACACTTTTTTACGAATTAAATCAATACTTTTTGCTCTTGTAATAAGCTAATATATGCCAAGTGTCACTGTGTAGTACATGTAGTGTTTCTATGTACATACTTTTTACAGTAAATAAATGAAAAAAATATTAAATTTTAATAAATATTCGAGCATGGCTATATAGTCACGCCTTCTATAAACTGTAAACAAAAGTCAACATTTCACCCGGGGTATATTCGCGAACATTGCCCCTGGTAATACGTGCAATGTGTGACGTCATAACGGCGGACCATAGTAATGGCGGAGCATAATTAATATTCGAAACAGTTTGGTGAGTTTTCATGTTCAAATCGTAATATAGACCTCAGAGCAGGTGTAATATCGTAGAATACACCCCTCACTTCCTTCAGGGTACAGAAAACGTTTGTGCCTAGCCCTCTGGGGTGTATTCAACAATATTACCCCTGCTCTGAGGTCTATATTTCTTAATTAAATTTCTTACAAGCTTACCATAATTTCTTTGCTGATTTGACATCGATCGTGTTCCTGCTTTTCTTTAACTGACTAGTTGTGTACACCGATGATGTTACTCGACTCATACGTGAGACCTTTTCTCTCTCTAAGAGGCCCTTTTCATGAATTTCCGCCTATAAAGAAACTTGTTAATATCATGATAGAGATTTCATAAGCTCCCTAGAGGCTCATAAAAAGCCAAGTGATAATTGATTTTTTTTCTTTAAATTTTTTTCTAAGTTTTCAACCTTTAGCAAAAATCTGATCTTTTCAAAAATCCCACTTGTAATGTTTAACATGTTTCAAAACTTATCAGTTTCAATATCATTGTAAAAATCTATATAGTTTAAAAAATAGTAGTGTATTTCAAAAAAATGTATCTGGTGGATACCTGCATTGGGAACAGAAGTGCCAAGACTTGAGTGATGTTATTGCTCCAGCAGCCCTGAAAAAAGAATAATTTATTTAATGATGTTTAATGATTCTTAAATGATCATTTCAAATCAAAAGAATTTTATTTTTCAATGAATTGATCAGATTAATGCCGTGGTCACATTTGCTCCGATTTTCAGCACCAGCGCCCGACCGATGAGTATTTTGTTCAAAATTGAATACAATTTTGAACAATGTACTCAATCGATCGGCCGAGCACCGTAAAAATGGAGCAAATGTGACCACGGCATAAGTTGTTTTGGTAAAAGTGAAATGTCTCCATTTAAAGGCCTTATCAGTTTACCAAATCAGAAAAACACTGGGTGTCAATAAAGACTTTTTGCGATTACAATATAAATCTCTTACCCTCATAAAGAAACTTAATAGATATATGTATATAAATAAATGAATTCTTACCAATTGAGATCGCTTTAAGTAGGCAGAAATGATTGCTCCTAAATCATTCTCGAATAAATTCCTGCAAATAAAATATATATGATTGATTTTCATCCCATCTTTATTCCAATTTAATACATTTAAATAACAGTACATTGACTGCCAAAGTTAGATACAATGGTGGCAATTTTAATCAACAAGTGTTTTATATCCACAATAAAGGGGTACAAGAAACAAACAAAAAAGATATGGTTTAGGACACCTCATTTTTAAATGGTATAAGAAGGATGTTCAACGTATATACAATTTTGAATGGCCTTATACACTGAAAACACGGTCAAATAAATGAAATGAATGCAAAAACATAAAGATGAGTTTTCTGATGTGGGGATGTCTCATAAAGTATGTTCCTAATGAGAAAAAATAGATTGTCCACTTACAATGCAAATAGGTAAAGATGAGTTTTCTGATGAGGGGATGTCTCATAAAGTATGTTCCTAATGAGCAAAAACATATCGTTCACAATCCTGATTCTCTCCTCATCAAAGTCATATTCTCCGTTCTGAAAGAACATATCATATCTTTATATTAATCATATGCTATCATTAACATGTCATATATCATAAATTATATGTTATATATTCTTTCTTGATCATTTATACTTCACATAATATAATTTATACATTTTTCTCATTTGTACATTATAATTCTTCTTTCTTTTTCATTTGTACATCATATATATTTTGTACATTATACATTTTCATTTGGACAAAATATATCTTCTTTCTTTATCAATTTTACATTATACATTATCATTTGTACATCATATGTCTCCCTTTGTATATCATTTGTATTTCTTATATTATCATGTTGTTCATTATATGTTTTCATTTTTATTGTATTTAATGATTTGTACATTATATGTTTTCATTTTTATTGTATTTAATGATTTGTACATTATATATTTTCATTTTTATTGTATTTAATGATTTGTACATTACATATTTTCATTTTTATTGTATTTAATGATTTGTACATTATATGTTTTCATTTTTATTGTATTTAATGATTTGTACATTATATATTTTCATTTTTATTGTATTTAATGATTTGTTCATTATATGTTCTCATTTTTATTGTATTTAATGATTTGTACATTATTTATTTTCATTTTTATTGTATTTAATGATTTGTACATTATATGTTTCATTTTTATTGTATTTAATGATTTGTAAATTATATTTTTTCATTTTAATTGTATTTTACGATTTGTACATAATGTTTTCATTTTATTGTATTTAATGATTTGTACATTATATGTTTTCATTTTCATTGTATTTAATGATTTGTACATTATATATTTTTATTGTATTTAATGATTTGTACATTATGTTCTCATTTTTATTGTCTTTAATGATTTGTACATTATATGTTTTCATTTTCATTGTATTTAATGATTTGTGTATTATATATTTTTATTGTATTTAATGATTTGTGCATTATATATATTCATTTTTTTTGTATTTAATGATTTGTACATTATATGTTTTCATTTTTATTGTATTTAATGATTTGTACATTATGTTTTCATTTTTATTGTATTTAATGATTTGTACATTATATTTTTCCATTTTTATTGTATTTTACGATTTGTACATTATGTTTTCATTTTTATTGTATATAATGATTTGTACATTATATTTTTCCATTTTTATTGTATTTTACGATTTGTACATTATGTTTTCATTTTTATTGTATTTAATGATTGGTGCATTATATGTTTTCATTTTTATTGTATTTAATGATTGGTACATTAAATGTTTTCATTTTTATTGTATTTTACGATTTGTACCGGTCCCTCAACAAGCCTGAACTATTGAACTGATACCTTGATTATAACACATCAACAAGCATGAACTATTTAACTGGTCCCTTTATTATAACACATCAACAAGCATGAACTATTGAACTGGTCCCTTGATTATAACACATCAACAAGCATGAACTATTGAACTGGTCCCTTGATTATAACACATCAACAAGCATGAACTATTGAACTGGTCCCTTGATTATAACACATCAACAAGCATGAACTATTGAACTGATACCTTGATTATAACACATCAACAAGCATTAACTATTTAACTGGTCCCTTTATTATAACACATCAACAAGCATGAACTATTGAACTGGTCCCTTGATTATAACACATCAACAAGCATGAACTATTGAACTGGTCCCTTGATTATAACACATCAACAAGCATGAACTATTGAACTGGTCCCTTGATTATAACATATCAATAAGCATGAACTATTGAACTGGTCCCTTGATTATAACACATCAACAAGCATGAACTATTGAACTGGTCCCTTGATTATAACACATCAACAAGCATGAACTATTGAACTGGTCCCTTGATTATAACACATCAACAAGCATGAACTATTGAACTGGTCCCTTGATTATAACACATCAACAAGCATGAACTATTGAACTGATCTCTTGATTATTACACATCAGCCAGCATGTCGTGTTCGTGTCATGTTTCAACCCAAAGGGATGAGAAAATAATTAAAAACATCGCTATGGCAACCCTTTTACCTAAGAATATAACATCAGCATATGTGTGCAGTTTTTGAACATAAAACAAAGATGAACAAGTGATTTTGTATTAAAATTTTGAATATCTTCTGCATGCAGGAACTTTTCCCAAATTTTACAGAAAATAACTCACTTGACTGAAATTTCTGGAAATAGTGAAATGAAATCACTAGATATGAATAGAATGATTTTTAAATCGAGGGAAAATCACATAATGTAATATCCTGTTCAAAAGGAAATTAAAACAATGGGTTTCCTTCAAAACAGTTTGAGGTTTTTATGTTTAAAATGGAAAATTCTGTAAAAAGAGTAGAATAAGCAAGAAATAAAGTGAACAGGCATGTAGTCAACACTCTAAATTTTAAAGAAATGGTATAACATGAGGAAATTCATTCAAAATTTTGAGAAAAAGTGTAAAATAACATGACCATCAAACCATTTCTATGGGCTTGCTAACCCAACAGTGCATCATATTAACACATATTAACAAGATGTTGGTCTCAATAAGATGTTGTTTTCAATAATACTACTGGCTCCTGGTTTCGATCATTTTCGAATCCCTCATTTCGATACTCATCACATATTTCTGTTTCACTTAAAACGTGGATTAAGAGAAATGATCTGACATTGTTATATCACCATCTTCTTCACTCTTTCAGTTTACAATCTCTGAACTCACGAAGCTAATCAGAGTGTGTCGTTGAAATACCATTTTTGATGACTACATCTCAGGGCTGAGAAGAAATGAGATGTCATGGTTTATCATGATGGTAATTTCCTTTGCCACAATTGCATGGTAATGACCATACATTTAGCACGTGTTCCTTCCAGTTTGCTGATTGGTTGAGCAAACTTCAGAGTGGTAGGTTAGAAATGATTTATGATCCGGACTGTCACAGGCAAGTCATGGGGACAGGGTTGCTAAACTGTAATATCAGTGATCTCCCCATGTCACTTTTACCGGGGGCTCCCCCTACTTGAAACCAAAGGCCCCCCAGTTGGCACCCAGTTTGAATCTGCACTTTAACTTCTGATTTGAAAAATGAGTGAAGTAAGCACCTACACTGAGATATTGTGAGCGTAGCGAGTGCTGATTTTTTCAGACTTGAAATTTTGCACCCAGTTGAAAATCTTTTTTGGGGAGAACACTGAATATAATCTATACCGGGCAGCGGGTACTTTAACAAGACTGCATACAGGATAATGATAATGACGACGTATGGGTCAAAAACTATGTTTTGACAACTTTTTTTTTACCAAAATTTTAACTATATTTGAGACAGACTTACATGGATGTACAGATGGACAAAGCCATTCTCTATATCCCCTTGAACTTCATAAGTGGCTCATAATGTACCTTACAAAACCGCTAATTTATCGTATGATCTGTAAAATGAAGCCTTCTGATTGGTCAGTTCTTGTGCTGTACCAATCTGTATTGCTACTGAGATTGTCCCCATTGATCATCTCCGTCGCAATACAGAAAATATTGGTACGGAGGGAACAATCTCAGTAGCAATACAGAGGATCACACGATAAAAACGTTATTGAATGATTTACGGGATATATTCTGTCTCGATATTCTGTATGGCACTCGACTTCGTCTCGTTCCAGTACGGAATTTCTCGATCAGAATATATCCTGTATTGCACTTCAAATCATTCAATAACTTATAGTATTTGTGTTTATTGTAATAATTTGAAATAAAGAAATACAAAAAAAAACTTCATACTATGGGACACATTCAATTACTAACCTCCTCTAGCATTGTGCCAAGCTCTCCTACCAGAATCTCTACCATGTCCTTGTTGCTACAGAAGGCATCTATAACCTCCGTATGGAGCAGAGCTATCTCTGGGTAATTCTCACATTCTCTTGGAGTGTCCTCTGTTAAAAGGACGAATAACCTACAAGAAAATAGTTCTATGAAAATAATAATCCACATTCCACATTAGTTTCAGTAATATACTTTCAAGTAGAAGATCAATTCGTGATTTCAACCAATATAAGAGGAGGAAAAACCCAAGCGCTCAGAAATGTCCTCAAAATTACCTCTCTAAGGATGTAAAAATATATTCCTATATCTTTTTTATCTTAACTTAAAATAACAAGATATGATGTAAGTAAATATTCCAGGAATTAACATTATTCATTATTCAAAGCGTTTTTACAAAATTTTGAATCCAAAATTTTGCTTTTTGATCCCATGTAATTTGACCAACCAGCTAAGGGTCTTCTATATATATATTTTCATTGAAGTTGAGGTAATCTTTGAACTCTGGATTTTTTCCTCCTACCAAATACCTAATGAAATTTTATCCCAAAGCCTGGTGGTAAACAATTTGTCCAGAAAGCAGAAGGCAACCAAATTGCAGATGGGTAGCGATTTGTATACTTGGACTGAATATTGCCAAAGAGATATAACAAGCCTAACCTGTGAGAAGAATCTGAATTTTTCTTTGCCATCTCCTGCCACGGAGCATTAATGCTCTCCCAATAGTATACAAGTATATAAGATTTTATTTCAAAAAGTCTAAGTCGCCATATCAAATTTCACCCAGCATGCCAAAAAACTGATCAGTTTTAGATTTCCATACCAAAAGAAATTCCTGAAATTGTCAGATCAATTTGGCAAAAAGCCTCGCCAGAAACCAGAAAATTGAGATGTTTACGCAACTACCTACCCTGAAAACTGATCACAATATAGCACCTGAAATGGGTGCGATTTCATGTCCTGTATATAATCCCTCTAATGCCTAAAGAAACACACTGTGTGATTGCCTAGTACTTCTGGTATACTTGAGAATAATGTTGAATCTCTTGGCATGCATTCTCAAATTTAATAGTTCATTTTTTACTTTGAATTAAGACATTATATCAAATCATCGTAATTAGCACTACTTAGCACCTTAACAGGTAACTTCCTCCAGCTCCCAACGAACCCCAGGAACATTTTGCACTTAACATTTCATTCACCAGTATTTATCTACTTCCTCTGTCAGTGCTCACTTAATGATTGTACTGACCAAACAAATTACTTTCACCAAAACTAATTAATCTGAAATGATGATCATGAAAATACATGTATGTCCTTTTGGTCCTTTTGGTCCCTCACTTATATTTTGGGTTTCTTATTTTTTAAATATTTGAATTTGTCGACATCTACCAGTCTCGAGTAAAAATATTGAGGATAATACAGAATTGAATACAAAGAATCAGAAATTGTTCAATTTAACTGTTTAAGAATATTTATAGATTTGTAGGTCAATTGTACATGTTGTCACCCCCTATAGATCTGATTCTGCCTTTAAGTGAATATCAAGAAATATACATACTTGACAAGCAAGGCAAAGACATCTTGGCTTGTAGCGCATGCTTGGAATGCCAGTACCAGGTCCTGTAAGAAAAAAATGATGTTAATGGTCAGCTTAGAACAATTACATTTGCATCATTTATTTACAGATGATTTGAGTATATTCCTTGGAGGGGGGGTCTGGAAACCACCAAGAGGGGGCCCAAATTTCAAGTCTCATTAAAAAAAATTAATAAAAACCCAAAAATTAAGGGCCATTTTCTTCAAAATTTGGCCTAAAATTAAAAAATAAGGCCTTAAAAGGCCCAGTAATGACCAAAAAGGCCTACGTCATGGGACCTTAGTTGAAATTTTTGGTCCGCTGACCCCCCCAGATCCGCAAGTGTCCCTGATATATGTCATAGATGTGTCACTGAAATTACATACAAATACATCATTTACAATACATACAATATTAATGTCGGTGAGTATCATGTATTTGTTAGGTGTGTAATTATAATGACACATCTACATGTATGGCACATATGATTATCCACATACACTTAAAGCAGTTTTTTACAAGACGTAATTTCAGTAAATATGCCTACTTCTAAATGGAAGGATAGCAAACATAAGATCACATTGTTATCTCGTGACCGATCACTGTTTTCTATCTACATATAAGGATGTTATGTATTATTTTCATTTCCATATTATTATTACAAGTAAAGAAAAATAATCAAGTAGGCATATGACGCAAAGTGTTTACTGTGCAGGAAACGTTATTAGAAGGATATGAATACCTTTCGAGCCACATATCGACAATAGCACCATGATATTGTCACATGGCATCAGAGTAACGTCACCCGATCTCTGTAATATCGATATGGCAAAAGTAATATTCTAATTGACTCCATCGAATAAAATATCAACATGTTCTTGTCTTTTTCTCACATTTTCTCAAAGATTTTGCACAAATTCAGCTAGTTCGCGTGTTTTGCAAATATTCTACAGATCATTTATACCTACTCCTGAAAAATTCACTAACAAATATGTTTATTTCATATATTTATATCATTTCCACTAATTTTACACAATTCCTTCAATATCTGCATTTAACAGCAGTTATCGAAATGAATTAATTTGTAACAAGGAGCTTTCCTTTTTATTTCGATTATATAAAAATAAAAGAAATACAAGTACGTGACACATGTTGTGTAACAATTTCTACACAGGAATGAGGGCCTGTACTTTCTGCACGTTTTGCAAAAATGTGACTTTCTACACTTGAGCTAATAAGCTGGTAACTAATAACTTCTCATTTACAGTATTGTGTTTCAGCTGCCAAATGGGAATTCAGAGATAGAGTTGATGGGAGTAGTTTCAGCTTCTATATCTTCTCATTTTAATATTTGTTTTCTGATCTGCTGGGAATCCAGAGATAGAGTTGATGGGAGTAGTTATAATTGTCACAAAATCTGAAGGTCTAAAGATTTATGATTTGATGGGAATGGTTATAATTTTCACAAAGACTTTTTAGATTTAATGGGGAGAGGTTAAAATTGTCACAGAATTTAAAGATTTAAAGTTAGATTTTTGATTTAATGAAGAGTAGAGAAACCCCAGAGTCCAAAGATAGATGACCTTAACAATGGAAATATACAGAGAAATGACCCTCATCGCTGATTGGTCAAATGGCATAGATGCTAACGAAAACAAAATGGCGGATTCAGAACGTCGTAAAAATGCTTCAAATAATATAATGTTAATTTCTGGCATATTCAATACTATTATAGCTAAGCTTGTCATTTCAAATTAAGATGTAAGGAATATGTTTACATTGAGTAAAACATGACATCAACATGTGGTATTCAGAAACTAGATAGGAAAAACGAAGAAGGTAAACAACAGAAGTAATTATGAGGTTATCTCTAAGCTCTGGGGTTTTCCATCCTCTTAATATGATGGTAGCACTTAGAATCATCACAAAATAGTATGAGCATTTTATGAGTTTCAATTATGAAGTCACGTTATATATGACTTGCAACATTATATTATAAAATACATCATGGTATGTTAATATAAATCACAGAACAGTATATTGAGAGTAAAAATACAGTGTTACAGGCCACCTTCCCCATCAACTGGTCTTTTTCTAAATGTAATGTTATAGGCATCATTTCTCTATCGGACGTCAACTTTACAATGAGTCATTGATCACGGGTAAGTTATTACCTTAATAGATATCAGCAATGTAATTGCCTATTAAATATATAAGCACTAGTGCCAAAGGGAAAGGACTAAAAGTTATAATGGAACTGAGCAAGAAAAAGCAAACTCTAAGATTAGCCGTATTATACAATGCCCTTATGGTTCAAACAATACCACTATCTTTTGAACAATACCCTAATAGTTCATACAATGCCCTTACATTTTGAATACTCCCCTTATAGTTCATACAATGCCCTTACCTTTTGAACACTCCCCTTATGGTCCATATAATGCCCTTACGTTTTAAACAATCCCTTATGGTTCAAACAATGTCCTTACATTTTGAACAATGCCCTTATGGTTCAAACAATACCCTTACATTTTGAACAATGCCCTAATGGTTCATACAAGACCCTTACCTTTAGAACAATACCTTTATGGTTCATGCAATGCATTTCCCTTTTGATCAATGCCCTTATATTTCAAACAATGCCATCATATTTCAAACAATGCCCTCATACTTCAAACAATGTCCTTACCTTTTGAACAATACCCTTATGGTATATACAATGCCCTTACCTTTGAACAATGCCCTTATATTTCAAACAATGCCCTTACCTTTTAAACAATACCCTTATAGCCTTGTGGTTCATACAATGCCCTTACCTTTAAACAATACCCTTATATTTCAAACAATGCCCTCATAGTTCAAACAATGTCCTTACCTTTTAAACAATACCCTTATAGCCTTATGGTTCATACAATGCCCTTACCTTTGAACAATGCCCTTATATTTCAAACAATGCCCTCATAGTTCAAACAATATCCTTACCTTGTGAACAATGCCCTCTATTCCAAGTTGTTGTCTGAAAGTCCAGCATGCTGGGGCTTCCCCACTCAACTGCTCTATGATGTCCTCTAGGACATCTGCAACAAATGGTAACACATCAGAAAAAAATTGAAGAGACCATAGTCACCATATATATTAAAGTGCCTTGCCTAAATTGATGACATGCACAGTCACTCAAAAACTAAAATTGTATTCACGAATGCCTGTCAGCTACCGGATTGACCTCCTATGAAAAAAATTGAAGAGACCATAGTCACCATATATTATATATTTAAGTGCCTTGCCTAAATTGATGACATGCACAGTTACTCAAAAACTAAGCTTGTATTCACGAATGCAACTAATGCCTGTCGGCTACCGGATTGACCTCCTATTTTATGGGCAACTCATTTAAGTATGAAGGGAATAGTGGAAGGTACTATTCATATCTAAATGAGTTGGTCATAAAATAGTAAGTTAATCTGGTAGTTGCATTCGCGAATACAAGCGAAGTTAAAGAAATTGAAATTACCATTCAACTTACCTGCAGAATTGTCTGCTAGCATATACTCGCCGTCATTCATGTAGCCCAAATCTGAGCACATGCGGCGAGCTCCGCCCACGTCCATTATAAAGTAGTCCATGGTTCTTTGAATGTCTTTAGTTTACTCTGGAAGACAAAAGAGAGATATCCAGAGATGTTTGATATTGTTCGAAGAGCTTTAGAAAACTCTTAAACTTCCTTAAAGGTTATAAGTGCGCTTGGATGAGCTGTTTTTGTAATAACACGTGACCCTGTTAATTGCACAGCAGGGCTTTATGTTGATCTTTTTCATGATTTGTAAGTGTTGCACAATTTGCGAGCTCGTCAGGCAGTTAGAAAACGCAGCCTTATTCTACCCCAAAAGTGTTTTCTCCTGTAGCCTGCTGCTAACAAAATCCCTGATGAAGTAATATATACCTTGATCGACCACGATGAGAATATTGTTAATTAATTTGCTCAGCTAGTGTCTTTAATACTTTGACATTATGTCGCAGCAAACATTTTATCCTAATAAGGCTTACCGCGATATGCAAGCATAAGGCATAATATCGATTTTATTATTCGAGACGATCTAGAAAATTCAGCCCCGCAAAGTCCATGAGTGAGTCAAAGGCAAACATTATACTGAGAAACGTGATGCAGTCACAGAAATACATTTCATATATAACCCATATTTGGAGATGCATATTTGTCTGTTAACAAGGTGCTAATTGCTATGGATTGTGGTCAATATAACAGTTCTTTGTGCAGAAAATCTTGGGCAATCAGAAAAATGCATACCCTTTGCATTTGTTTGACTTCGCTTCTTAAAAGAGAGCTTCGTCGTCTAGACTCTGCACACAGGGTAAAAAATGCAAGAATCAAATTATTTTCGCTAAATTAACTACATAAACTATAAGTCAGTATGCTCGCAAATCAGAACTAGAAAACGGCAACTCCATGGAGTAGCAAATCCCAACAAACACTATAACATATATGAATCTGTATTTATCACAAAAATATAAACATTGGAAACATTAGTGATATATCAATATTTCTACCAATTTTAAAAGCATTTGGGTGACCATCTAAGAGTTTTAAAGGCACAAATAATAAAGACAATATGAATTTTCTGTGGCACAAATCAGGAAAATAATACCAAAATAGTGATCTACCCTTAAACTTCCTTCAATTTGAGTATAATATAGCCATACTTTAAAGGGATCAGAAAATGTTTGCGAAATCTCACATAAGGTGGCCATTTTGAATTTTACGAGGCCCTAATTACAAAACCAATACAATATTTGCAATCTTCTCTAAACAGACCTTTCCAATAAATCCTGACCTCTATTTGTAAACCAAGGAAACTAGGGTATATTTGCTAGATTTATGATGTCATACTTAACAGGCAGTAATGTTTGCAAACAAAACTGAAAGAAGTTTTTGAAAATTATCAATATTTTAATCCTATTTCTGCACTGAAATTGTAAGAATGACACCATAACCAATAGATGGCATAATTTACTGGATTGGTCTATTGCCTTACATTTGAGTATAATAAAGCTACACTTTAGAAAGATCTCAAAATTAATGCAAATACCCATTTTCCGGACCCCCCATACATGGCCCTTTGGGGTCATGATGAAAAACTGTGAATATATATGAAAAATATAGATGTTGTGTATATACTACCAAAACGGACGGACGGCTCACTATATTCCTATCGAACTCCGTTCGTTGGGATAATTACGACTAGAATATCTCTTGAGTCTCTACTTAATGAGGATAGTCGTGACAAACTGATAAAGTCGTTAAGGTTTGACTCTCATCGTTAGAATATGTAATGTGAGATTCCTCTGTTACTATGGCTACGTCAAATCGTAATTATGGTAACAGTAATAATTTTTCTAATTTCTGAAAACTTATCATGATGAATAATTTCATATTTTGTATACAGACAAGTTAAGCAAAGCATTATCAGAAAATTATTTTATTTATCAATTTAAGGTACCTACATGTTTTTCATCTGCTGTTCATAATCCATGTATTTTATTTCAAATCAGTTCAAATAAGATTAGAGAATTTGTTTCATTTTTTGCCTTCAATTCTTTTGGCCTATGTGTAGATCTAATTATGACGGAATTAAATATGGCGATCAATGTACGACGCTATTTAACACTATTATATCTTCCATGTTATAATAACTGCGTCTACATTATTGGTTGCTAATAGCAACAAATACATCATTCTCACATTACTTATTACTTGCCGCTAACCACTTTTGAAATCAGGCAATGTACGTACATGTAATTTTAGATTTGTAGAAAATATTCATCATGACTCCCTAATTTGATCATGTTTGTCATGTTACCCTAGAGTGTGTCATTAAAAAGTGATTAACAATGAACTTTTAATAATTATCCACATAAGAGTCCCTGGATTCACATCAAAAACTCTTTTTAATAATTCTCAACTTTATTTACTTTCAAATTAGCGATAATCCTTAGATCTGACCCAATCAAATTAGGGAGATCAAAATTCAGATATCCAATTAGAATAGGCTAGATGCAAGTAGAAATGAGCTTCATTTACATCATATTAAATATTCAAAATTCAGTCAGTGTGATATCATATTTGGAGTCTACATATAAAATTACACATACAGTGTACAATTCAAAATTACAAATTTGAAAAATGAACTTTCTTTAAAAATGTGATTTCTCGGTTGGGGAGATTGAAACCCCATAGGGTAATGCGTGCCCGTAGCCAGCTTTTACCAGGAGGGGGAGCTTTTTTCCAGGGGGGAGCTTTTTCCCAATTTTGTCTAAAAATCATGCGAAAAATTCTCAGAATGGTGAAAAACTGCATGATTTTGAAAGAATTTCTGGCCAGGGGGGGGGAGCGGAAGCTCCCCCAGCTCCCCCTCTGGCTACGGGCCTGGTAATGTATCCCTGTGAATCCCTCAAGAAAAAAAGCTGATACAAATTCACAAATACAGTAAATAAATTAACACTTTCTGCCATCGCATGCCATGGGATGCATTAATCAAAACTAAAAAAAAGCAATCAAAGTACAAGAGTACAATATTTCAAAGAACATACATTCATTTTTTGATGCAAAAGGAATCCTTTTGAGCACCCTGGAACTTCTTCAAAGTGGAAAAATAGCGGACAACATTTGGCAAGAGCGATTTTGATTGAATAGCCTTACAATGGCTATATAGAAACAATTTTGACAGGACCAATTTTAAGTGCCCCGCCAAATATGGTGACAGAGAAAAAAAGATTTTTAGCACACTGTTCATGCAGCCATGTTAATTTTTTACAAATAACACGGCAGAGAAGCATCAAAATATAAGAGGCCACACATATGAAAGCCAAACTACAAAATACTAAAAAAAATATATGTTTCTATTTATTTTCAAATACTGTTTCAACAATGGTCCTTTGCTTATATTTTAGATTCAAAATTCTCAATCGAAATTTGAATCGAACTGTAAAAGCCTGTATTTATCAGATTTTTTAAAAAATTGAAACATTCTAGGGGGATGCGTGCCCCAAGCGCCATCTCCTAGATCCAGAAATTAAAAAGGGAGGGCCCAAACTTTGACTATTGGTAAAAAAATTTCCTTGCTTGCATGGACAAATATTTTGGGCACACAAACCCAAAAATTGAGCCCAAATTTTGAAAACTTAAGGCCCATTTTTGATAAATTGGCCAAAAAGATTTGAACATTCAATAGCCCGATCTTCAAAGTCTGACAACAACTCTGACATTTTTGAGCTCTGGCCTTCAGTGTCACTTTGTATTATCCCATATACTGAATATTGGCAGTTTTTCTTATTTTTAAAATTTTTTGACCTTTTGAATTTGACCTGAATTGGAGTTGAATTTACAAGCTGTAGAGTCGTAGACTATATCTATTGGAAGTTTTCCCTGGGGGTTTCATTCCAATATACTTCTTAATACCTATGTGCCGCCCCAAAGACTCCCATTTTGAGCATTCTTCCATGTCAATTTCCATTGAAGGTTTCCATGTTTAACTTTTTCCAAGTTCGTTCCATGTTTTATGCTCAAAGCCAAATTTGACAGTGCTGCAAATACCTACCCCCGGGTACCTACCCTTGGTGTGAAGCCCACGGGAAGTTTTCTTACCTCTTCTGTAAGGTAAGGCCTATGATCATCATAATGAACACTTTCCATGTTTCTCCATAGACTTCAATTTCAAATCAAATGACGAAGTCCATGGTTTCTCAAATATTTTATTTATTTTACCCCGAACACCCCGACATTTGAACTCGGAATCCTACAAATACTCGGACTTCAGCAAACATGAGGTTTGGGCAAATTAGGTTCAATTCTTATGCCGGGCATAAGAGTAGATCTGTTCTTATGCCGGGCATAAGAGTAGATCTGTTCTTATGCCGGGCATAAGAGTAGATCTGTTCTTATGCCGGGCATAAGAGTAGATCTGTTCTTATGCCGGGCATAAGAGTAGATCTGTTCTTATGCCGGGCATAAGAGTAGATCTGTTCTTATGCCCGGCATAAGAGTAGATCTGTTCTTATGCCCGGCATAAGAGTAGATCTGTTCTTATGCCGGGCATAAGAGTAGATCTGTTCTTATGCCGGGCATAAGAGTAGATCTGTTCTTTTGTCGGCATAAATAGAAGATCTGTCCTTATGCTAAATGCAAAAGACAATGAGAGTAGATTTGTTCACTTCAAGTATACGCGGTCACAAATTTGTTACAAATATCATTATAACACTTACAGGAATGAAAATAGAGGGGAAATTAATGGCCAACAAAGTTTTATGTCAATTTTTTACCAGTAATGGTCATTACTTCAATGCCCTGATAGATTTTGTACACCAGCACAGCAGTAAATAACAAAGAAACATTGTATTTATTTATAATAGTTCATGTTATATTCAAATAATACTTCATGTATTTAATTTTATTAATATATTACTGTATAATACTTTAACTGCTGAAGTTATAAATTTATTTGGTGTTTGAATTTTTTGTCAAGTTGGTTTTGACTTGAATCCCAATAGTCTAGTATTATTTACTGTATTATAGGGAGTTTCAATTGTCATTTCAATACTCTGATGTAGTAGCCATCCTTAGCTCATAGTCATATGAAT